GATGACTAGTGAAGAAATACCCTACACCTCAAACCAGCTACCTCTTATGAGTTTATTTCTTAATCATAAATACAGTGAAACAAACATTTAAAGAAAATGAATAGCATGAAAGAGAAACCAAAATGGACCATATATGATCCAGAAGAAAATAGATTTAACAAAAGAGACCTCTAGAAAAGTTCTGATTAGTAATCTTATAGAAATAAAATATTACAATCATTAAGCAAGCACAAGATGATATGAAGGAAAGCAATCATAAAAAGTTAGGGATATAGCAATGATTATCAAAGAATACACTCAGGCATACCTTGGAGAAATTACGGGTTTGGTTAAGACCACTGCAATAAAGTACCACAGTAAAGCAAGTCAAATGAATTTTTTGGTTTCTCAGTGCATATGAGAGTTGTCTTTACATTTTATCATAGTCTATTAAGTGTGTAATAGCATTATGTCTAAAAATACAAGTTACATACCTTAGTTGAAAATACTTTATGCTAAAAAAAAAAACAGCCATCATTTGAGCTTTCAGCGAGTCATAAACTTTTTGTGGTGGAGAGTTTTTCTTGATGTTGATGGCTGATGACTGATCAAGGTAGTGATCGCTGAAGGGTGGGGTGGCTATGGCAATTTCTGAAAATAAGACAACAATGAAGTTTTGCACATCAATTGACTCTTCCCTTTATGAACAATCGATTTCTCTGTAGCATGCTATGATGTTTGATAGCATTTTATCCTAAAAGAACTTCTTTCAAAATTGGAATCAGCTCCCTCAAACCCTGCCACTGCTTTATCCACTCAATTTACATTCTATTCTAAATCCTTTGCCTTTTCAACAATCTTCACAGCATCTTCACCAAGAGTAGATTCCATCTCAAGAAACCACTTTCTTTGCTCAACCATAAGAACAGCTCATTCCTTTAAGTTTTATCATGAGTTTGTAGCAATTCGGTCCCATCTTCAGGCCCCACTTCTAATTCTGGTTCTCTTGCTATTTCCACCATATCTGCAGTTACTTCCTCCACCAAAGTATTGAACCTTCAGTCATCTGTGACAGTTGGAATCAACTTCTTCCAACCTCCTGTTAATCTTGGTATTTTGACCTCTTCCCATGAATCACAAATGTTAATGGCCTTTAGAATGGTGAATCTTTTCCAGAGGTTGCAATTTCCTTTGCCCAGATCCATTAGAGAAATCATTATCTATAGCAGCTATAGCCTAAAAAATGTTTCTTAAATAACAAGACTTGAAAGTCCAGATGACTCCTTGATTCACAGGCTACAGAATGGATGTCAACAGGCATGAAAATATTAATCTTATTGTACATTTCCATCAGAGCTCTTGGGTGGCCAGGTGCATTGTCAATGAGCAATAATATTTTGAAAGGAATCTTTTTTTTTTTTTTTTCTGAGCAGTAGGTCTCAACAGTGGGCTTGTAATGTTTAGCAAACCATGTAAACAGATGTGCTGTCATCCAGGCTTTGTTCCATTTATAAAGTATAGGTAGAGTAGATCTAGCCTAATTCTTAAGGGCCTAAGATTTTCAGAATAATCAATGAGCTTCAACCTGAAGTAACCAGCTGCATTAACCCCTAAGAGTCAGATCGTCCTTTGAAGCTTGAAAGCCAGACAGTGTCCCCTTTCTAGGTATGAAAGTCCTAGGTGGCATCTTCCTCCAATAGAAGGCTGTGTGGTCTACACTGAAAACCTGTTGTTTAGTGTAGCCACCTTCATTAATGGTCTTAGCTAGGTCTTTTTGGAGAACTTGCTGTGGCTTCTACATCAGTACTTTCTGCTTCACCTTGCACTTTTATGTTATGGAGATGGCTTCTTTCCTTACACCTCATGAGCCTATCTCTGCCAGCTTCAAACTTTTCTTTTGCAGCTTCCTCACCTCTTTGAGCCTTCATGGAATTGAAGAGAGCTAAGACCTTGCTCTGGATTAGACTTCAGCTTAAGGATATATTGTAGGACTGCTTTGATCTTCTATCAGACTACTCAAACTTTCTCCATGTCAGCCATTTGGTTATTTTGCTTTTTTATTATTTGTGTGTTCTAATTTCCTTCAAGAAATTTTCTTACCATTCATAACTTATCTGTTTGGTATAAGAGGCCAAGGCTTTGGCCTATCCTTGCTTTTGACATGCCTTCCTCACTTAGTTGAATCATTTTTAGCTTTTGATTTGCATTGAGAGATGTGTACCTTTTCTTTTCACATGAACACTGAAGAGGCCATTGCAGGGTTATTAATTGGCCTAATTTCAATATTGTGTTTCAGGAATTAAGGGAGGCCCAAGAAGAGGGCGAGGAAGGGACCAGGGGCTTGATAGACCAGTCAGAACATAGACATTTATTGGGTTGCTGTCTTATATACCAGTGCTGTTCATAGCACCCCAAAACAATTACAACAGTAACATCAAAAATCCAACTGATCAACAGATCACCTTAACAAATAGAATTATAATGAAAAAGCTCGAAATATTGCCAGGATCATTTAAAGGTGACACAGAGACACAGAGTGAGCAGAAACGGTGCTGATAGACTTGCTGGAAGCAAGGTTGCCACAAACCTTCCATTTGTAAAAAAAAATGCAAAGTCTGCAAAGCATAATAAAGTGGAGTGCAATAAAACAAGGTATGCCTGTATATAGAAAATTTAAATAAGAAGCAAAAATGGCAAAATTGTGAAAAATTGTTTAACCTAACAACTAATCAAGGAAATGTAACTTAAAACTAGGTATTTTTCATTCATGAGATTGGCAAATATAACATTGCCGTTTTACTAAATGTCTTAATTTGGGCTGCAGTAACAAATTGCCATAGGCAAAAGGCTTAAACAACATTTATTTCTCACAGTTGTGGAAGCTGGAAGTCTGAAATTAGGTTGGGTTCTGGGTAAAATCCCTCCCCTCTTCTGGGTTTATAGATAGACCCCTTGTGCTCTCACGTGGTGGTAAGTATAAAGAAGTAGTAGCAAGTGCTCTCAAGGGCACTAATCCCATTCATGAGGGCTCCACCTTCATAACTTAATTATTTCTCAAAGGCCTCACTTGTTAATAGTATCACAGTTTGAGGGGCAGGATTTCAACATCTGCCATGACAGTAACCTAATGCTGTATAAACAAATCAGTTACAAATTGTCTTTTCAAAAATCGATGAGCTCTAATGGTTTTCTGGGCATTAGGGAGTCAGAGTGGTTTGGTTGGCATTTCCACCATGAGGTGTCTCATTCTCATGAAGCTAGTCATTGAAGGCTTGCTTGGGGCTGGAGGATCCATTTCGATGGCTGGCAAATTGGTGCTAGTTTGGAGGGAGCCTCTTCCTCCCTGCAGACCTGCTTGACTGGTCTTATGGCATGGCAACTGATTTCCTTCAGAGTAAGCAATATAAGCAACCAAAGTTTTTTTTTTTTTTTTTTTTTTTAAGACAAAGCCTCAGAAATACCCCATGGTCACTTTTTACCGTATTCTACTGGGCACACAAGCCAGCTCTAATTTAGTGTGGGAGTGACAACGCAAAGACATGGGAACCAGGAGTTGAGGATCATTGGAGGCTGGCTACCAAATATTTGGTTTTGGCAAGAATGAGAGGAAATAGGTGCCCTTATACTCTATCACTGAGTGTGTAAATTGGTGTACCTCCTTTAGGAAATGACGGGATGGCAGACAGGTAAGATTGAGTCCACGTATCTGGGCAGCAGTTTAGCACCGCCTGAGACCCAGGATTGAGTCCCAGAGTCCCACGTTAGGCTCCCTGCATGGAGCCTGCTTTTCCCGCTGCCTGTGTCTCTGCCTCTCTCTGAATGAATAAATAAATCTTAAAAAAAAAATCCACATATCTTTGTATATATTCTGTGTGAAAGAAATATGAATAATGATGTTTACTGCAGTAGTGTTTGAAATAACAAAAAAGGGAAGAACTAAAATATATGTATATAAGGGAATAGATAAAGGAATGCTGCAGGGCAGTTAAAAAAGAATGTTGCAGATCTTTGGCTAATCATGGAAAGTTTTCTTTTAAGACCTATTGTTAAGAAAACAAGCAAAGAGAAAATAAGCTTCCATTTACATAAAAAAGGAAAAAACCCCGAATACATGAAAACTGATTTTGCGTATATATACATGTATGAATACAAAAATCTCCAGAAAAGTTCTGGAAAAACACATGCAAAGATTTTGGCAGTTACTTCTGTAAATGGTTAGTGTGGAGAGCACTTTTATTGAGTTTTTAACAACAAAAAATGGCTTTAACAATTTAAACATTTAAAATCAGTAAATAAGACTTTGAGTGACTACCCAAAATGTTCTCACAAAAAGGAATAGGGACTTTAGTGGTTAGACGTTATGATATTTATTTTAGTTTTTCAGAGGTCCTTTCTGGCTTACTTATAGATTTCTAGTTGTTGCTACAATTAATTGTGTTGATCTCAGAGCAAATCTTTAGAAAATTAAGCGATGAGAGCAAGGTCTCAATTTTTTTTTTTTAAAGATTTTATTTATTTATGAGAGACACAGAGGCAGAAGCCATAGGCAGAGCAGGCTCCATACAGGAAGCCTGATGTGGGACTCGATCCTGGGACTCCGGGATCACGCCCTGAGCCAAAGGCAGATGCTCAACGGCTGAGCCACCCAAGCGGTCCCAAGGTCTCAACTTCTGAGTCTGTATTCACTTGTGGTGTCATAATGATAGGGAATGGCATTAAAATACTGCTGGCACCCCTTTCAAAATACATAAAATGTCAGTAGGCTTAGATATGATGCCGCTGTGATCGAATGAGACACTGAAGTCATTGGCATTCATACACACTACAAAGGTGACCATTATTCGTTCATGTCTGTTCTAAATTTCTTACCAGAAATAAAGCACTGTTTTGGTCCATATAAAGATGTGACTGGAATACATACTAAATGGAATAAAACCAATCATGACTTGTGTTGGTTTATTCTTATTCTTCTTCCCCCAAGAGTATTTAAGGAAGGAATGCCACCTGAGTCAGAGTTATTAGTTTATAAGAGTGTATTCACTTGGGCTATAAAATCAACATACAATTTATTGTTACAGAGGAAAAAAAATGTTTAAAAAATTATTACACAACCACCAAAGCATCCATGTCTAGAACAATCTATCATCAAATTACAATAAATTTGTTCTCCAGGAAAGCTTACCTATAAATTAGAAAAATCATTGGTTCTAGTAACAATTTTAACACCTCAAACTTGAACATTCCTATCAAAGTAGCTATATTCACCAACACCTACTAAAACAGCAACTCATTGTTTAGACAGGTCATTTAAGTTCTCTGGGTTTGAGTTTCCTCTGAAAAGTGAGGAGTCCGAGTGAAATTATCACCAGCAACGCTTCCTATCCCAAAAGTCCACCATAAACTGTTCTCCAATCCTCCTTTAACGCGAGGCACTTCTTTTCCTTGTAAACTGATAAGGCTTACAATTCTATCAGGTGTAACTTCTTATTCATCTTGAGGCTGTGAATTCCAGCACAAGTACTTTTTTAAACCGCCCTTATACAAACCCGCTGTAACAATGTTTGAAAAATGGTCATGATGGGACTTGACCTAAAGCAGAAGTAGAAATCCTTTTTAAACACTGAGCAATGGCAGTAGAAAGCTGGTCAACCAAAGCCTGTTTCAAGGTGGTGGTGGACGTACCCTCTTAGTGATCTGGGACTCACTTTAGGCACAACACCATGTATTTCTAAGTAAGAAGATACTGAAGGACTGCTTACATAAACTGTGCTCTAATATTAGTGCCACTTTATTGAGGAAGAGTGTCCTATTAATTAACCTTTCCTTGCCTGTTACTTTCACCTTTCCAGTTTACTGTTACTTAGCTTTACTCATTATGGAGAATTGTTTTGCTCCATTAATTCTGTACTATTGCCAAAAAATTTCTGTAGGATAAAATATTATTATGTATCAGGTACCCCTGGGGTTGAGAGTCTCGTGGAATACCTTTAAGAAAAGTGTGCAACTACTTTTCCTCAACATTTCACCTCTATAAAAAAAAGACACTTGAACTCTAATCATTCTTCTGCTTACTGCCACAGTAACATTTAGAATGTATCCTTTTCATGGGTGAGGTACATTCAGTTGAGACTGACATTTTACTTACCGTCTCTAGGTTTTCTCATGAGGGTTAAGAGGGTTGGTTGGTTGATCTGCTCATGGGCCTATACCAGAAACTTCAAGACAGGTAAGAGTCAAGGCTCTCCAAATTTATGTATTTGGCCACTATATGAAACTATGATTAATCCAAGAAAATTCCAGAAAAATTTCTAATATTCAAGACTCATACCTTGAGATATCTGAAAAATTTTTTGAAATGTAACTTTTTAGCAAGAAACTGATCCTCAACAGTTTGACTACAATTAAAAAGCAAATATAAGACCTTTGTTCAGGATCTTAGTGCATTTTTTATAATGCATATGAATGTCCTACTGAGTTGCACAGGGTGAGAATCTCTGAGAATGTACTCTTCTTGTATGAAGAGTTGAGAACTTTGCAGAACATCACAAAGATAGTGAGAGTACAGGAGCTGTATCCTTCTCACCACTGCCTCCTTTGGTGCTATCACCACACTTGCACACAAATGCTTAATAAATGTTCACTAAATTCAATTGGAGGGGTTATATGGACACACCAAAAACTCTTGATTAACATATACTGTAGAACCTAGTTACATAGTTTCAAAGACAAGAACAGATCTTTATTCGATGAGGTAGATAGAAATACTCAAAAGTAAACTCAAAAGTAAAGCATATTCTGAAGCATCCACACATAAATTTATAATGTATCTCTGAATATACGCAATGTTATTTTCGTAACTCCTATCTATTCCAACAGTTTTCAATGTTCAGCATACTTATCAGATTCTTATTTAGCCAAAGTAACCACTAAAATGATATAAGGCAAAATAATTCATTTTATTTCTTAAATGCCTATGTATTTACAATCATAAAAATGTTCACGCTTATAACTTAGGAGATACTATACTTTCACATTTATTAAAAATTAAAAATATTAGGAAATCTAATTACTTATGAAGAAATTAATGGCTGATCAAAAAATGTCAAATTATTATTAGCTTAAGATTATATCATAATCATGAATAGCACTTCATCATGAATACCTTCATTTTACTTTTAAAACTATACTTACGGTTTTTAGATTAAAATCTCATATTGAGGCAAGAAGACTTTACTTCAAATTACAATCACATATGGAAGGGAGCTTTTAATTCAAGGTTTCATTATGGTCCATAGTATAAAGATATATTTTCATGAGGGGGTACATGATAGATAGCCAGCAGAAGAAATAATGCTAGCAGAGGGTAGTAAATTGCCAACTAAGCATGCACTGAACCAAGAGACTACTTTATAACACGGTAAGTCCATGATTTTTGCCAGACTTTCTATAATGTTCAGGTTCTCAAAGGTCACTGAATTTTATAATTATCTCCAAACAATTTTCTTCATGGTCATTTAAGCTTTGTCTAAACAGCTGGGTGTGTTGCCAAGCAACACCACCATCTCCTCTGCTTAATTCTGCTTCCAAAATAACTTCAGTGGCACCAGAAAAATCATGATAGGAGCGAAGAGTTTTATCTGTTGGAGGAAAAAAAATAATTAACACTTTGCTTTTGGTAACTTAAAGAATATAAAGAAATAGTTTTGGAATACATATTATATACCTAACCTGTAGGTAAAATCAACCCTTAAAAAGATAAATACAAATTATCCCTTACGGAGGAAATATGTCCTTCGAAACAAAAGAAATGGTTTTTCTTTATCCATTTGTATTTCACAATAAAAAACAAGTGGTTTTATTAGAATAAGGTTATATAAGTTTTAATTTTTTTTCTTTTCTTTTTTTTTACTTGCAGTACTATGAATGAATCTTGGGTATGAGCAACTCAAGTACAATTATTCTTCAGAGTGTTAAATACACATCATGATTAATTCTCTAGTCAAATGCTTACCACCCAGTAGTTCTACTTGGGCTGTTTCAGATCGCAATTTCCACTGTATTGTTCCAGTCTGAAAGGTTTGACTACTTGTTCTAATGGAAACATTATCTACTTTTAGGCCAACTGACGCACACTCGAACTTCCAGGAAATATAAGCATAAGATGATCCTTCCCTTCGGGCTAAATATACCTACAAAGGAGAAGGGGAACAAAGAATTGTTATAAATAATAAAATAATGCAGAAAACACATATAGTCAAAGTCTTACTGTTGTAGGGTACTATATACAAATTATTAAAAATCTAATTTCTTCCTCACTGAGAAGATTTTCACTGTGAACATTCTGCATTTCATCAGCAATTTTTCCTATAGTATATTTTGGTTTGGAAGAAAGATACTTGGATACAGGTGCACTGGTAAGTACAGCCCTAAGGGGGGCATGCTAACCAAATTTTGGTAAGTCAAATTTTCTTTTAAATTAGTTGACTCCAGCTATCTCATATGACCTTTATGATGAATCCTGGTGAAAATGAAGAATCCTTTTAAATACAATTACTCTTTATCTTCTTTTCTAAATCTGGATTTTCAGATAAGATTTCCTAGAGCGAGATGGGCTATATATTCTAAGTTAAGAAAATAACTCAGTCATTGTTAAGTAGTAGTTTAAAATATAGTATTCATGCTTGCCTCTCTAAATAATATGCTCCCATTCCTTCATTATTAGTCATCCTTACCACTTTTAATGTATACTATTTAAGGCATCCAAGTTTACTGGCTACTTCCAGCTCATCTTCTCTCATAGTTTCATCCACATTCTTGAAGATGTGGATGTGAACGCTGACATCCACAGCCTTGGCCTTTCACAAGTAACTCCATTCACCCAAGCTCAAACCCCCAAGAATCTGACTCTTTAATCAGTTATCGCAGATGCTCAAACTCACAAAACAACTCATGCATTTCTTTGAAATAAGTCTCAAAAAAACCCTTTCCTCATTTATACTGCACTTACCACTACAGTCATGACTCCATGCTCATCTTTCTCCAACTGCCTAATTAATGTTTTTGAAAGCCCACTTCGTTCCTGTCATTTGCATGGTCTAGAATGTATAGCAAGTAACTGGGTTGAAATCTAAACTCTCAGCTTTAACAGTCCTCCAGAATTTCACCCCACCTTGAACTGCCAATAATTCTTTACCCAAATGTAACTATTTTATTTCAGGTGTACTTAGTATGATCTTAACCAAATCTTAACTTTTCTGGGGTCACCGGTTCTGGATTCACATGGGTTTAATAAATAGTATTTAAGTATTAAAAGTATTAAAAGTCTGCATATACATATATTCCTTCAGAATCATCAAACTTACTTGTTGAGACCAACAAAAGTACCATATAACACATATGTCATGGAAATGTCCTACTACCTGTTTTTAGTCATCAAGTAAAAAAAAAAAAATCAATCACTGCTAGCAGTCTATTGATATTCTATTTCACAACCTATAGTTTTTCTTCCAGGTTAAATATGTCAGCTAATTGAATTGGAAAGTTTTTAGAATCAGTGAGCTGGAGGTTATCTACTAAAAACAACCACTCCCCAAGGAAAACTATTTGATCTCTTCAGACTAGATACGTATAATCAACAATTGCACTAGAGGGCACACCTAGATATATGGTGTTGATTGCTCCACTTAAGTTTAGGACGACCTCACTATAACCTCCTCTAATACCTACCTGTTCCTACTGCAGTGCTCCTCTTACAAATCTGTTGGTAAGGAGAACTTGGGGCTGAGAATTCCACCAAAGCTCCCTGGGAGTCATTGGTTCCATCTATCCCAAACTACTGGCAAATCTGGGGATTATCTATAACCTAATTACTACTTCAAAGGCATGGCTAGTATAGGGGATTAACTGGAAAAGATGAGCTGAACAGTAGGGTTATTGGAAGAAAGGTGGTTGGAAGAAACTAAAAGACTGGGGACGAGTAGTCCAAAGACCAACACATTCAGATTTATGTCTCAGTATATACTTTTTCATGCCTTATTGTCTTTTTAGAGCTCAGTAGTTTCAAATGATCCCCTCCCCCAAAAAGTGTGGGCATAAAATATGTCAGATTGAAGACAGGTTAGTTTCAAATTCCTAGCTTACCCTCAGAGTTGTCTTAATTATACCACATGGGTCCAGGCCACAACTGTGGTTTTAACTGTCATAGGTTTATAATAGCTGCTGAACACGTCTGAGAGAATTGCTTCTTCTAAAATTTACATTTTTCAGTCCTAAAGGCATCAGCTTTAAAGACTCTAAAAAGTTAAAGGATAGGATAGAATTCATCACTGAATTCTTAAATGCTTAAATAAACATTCAAACACATTGTAAGAAAATAAAAGGTCTCTCAGGCTAAAGAAACAGTATATGGAAACAAAATAGACTATTGATATTGAAAATTCATGTCATCTTTTTCTCACAATATACTAATTTTAATTCAGTGTTTTTATAGGTGGAAGTTACTAAGAATATAACAGTTTGATAAATGAAGTGTGCCAAAACAATACCATTTATTATATAAACACTCCATTGTAATCCTTTCTATGTGTAATAGCAACAGAACCAGTAATTATAATTTAGGAGAACAAAAAAACTTTATAAGCTTTCAAATATTCAGTTGTTTGGTCCGGAGAACCACACCCCCTCTGTTTTTTTTACTATTGGATGTTCCTCTTCTTGAGTTGTCTTAGATTTTTTGGCTGTTGGCTTTTTAATTCACAGGTGTCACTTACCATGTGCATTTATACATGCTCATTCTTGCAATTTCAGGGGCTACCAAGAGCTACCTTACTTTAGCAGCAAGGACAGTAAAATCAGAAGTCATGGAGTTTTCCTTCTACAGACCTGATATCCATACAACACCCCACCCCCTCCCTCTAGGGACTCATCCCTGCCCCTTTTTGGCAACTGTAAGGCATATAGTACAGGCAGATCACAGCCTGTGGGTGACAAGGAGACCAGTATGTCTATGGCTTAAGGTCTAAGCTATGTCACTAATAATGTACACAATGGAAACTTGTCCTTTGGGTTATGGCTGTAACCACTATTTTCAAGACTGAGCATGTCAGCTTCTTTAATGCTTCAGGTTTTTTACATTCTACAAAAGATCTTCGCTTCAAGATTTTTTGATTACTATATGACAGGCTGTTCTGTCCACTGCTATGGTTTCCTGGAGGTTTGGTTTTTACTGGACTGTTTTTCTTATTTATTTATTCATGAGAGAGAGAGAGAGAGAGGCGAGGGAGAGGGAGAGGGAGAAGCAGACTCCATGCAGGGAGCCTGATGTGGGACTTGATCCTGGGACTCCAGGATCACACCTTGAGCTGAAGGCAGATGCTCAACCACTAAGCCACCCAGGAGTCCCTTTACTATGCTCTTAAAATGATTCTTCTGCTTAGCCTGGTAAGATTAACTCTAGTTAAAAAACAAACAAACAGATTAGCTTAATGAAGTTTGCTGTACAGCAGACACTCTGTAGTCATTCCTGAACATATCTAGCCGAACAACTGTATTTCAACATTTTAATTTAATGCTGGTAAACTGCTATTGCTCATGAATCTCATTTTTGGTTATTCCATTCTATCACTGAAATCAAAGATGACATTGTCAGTCTGCACTATACTTACATCTTTCTATACTATGCTAATTTCTTCTATCTGTAGCCTCTGGAATTACCTCTGAATCATTAGTGTGATCATGTCCTTCCCTTGCCTGGAATCTTTCATGGTTTCCTGTTATATAACTGCAAGGTCTTGGGACTTGACCACTGTTCACCTCTTTAGTCTCATTTCCCACTCCTCTCCCCTATATTCCCTACTACTTACTCTTCCTTTAACATACCAGATGTTTCCCCTTCCAGTGCTTTTGGGCATGCTATCTCTTCTGCTCCCTGCTACATCCTGTCATCACAATGAGAAACTCTCCCTCTGCCTCCTTCTCTAAGCTTTTCAGATTTCACTTTTTCTGCAAGGTCATCATCTCTGATCCAAGAAAGGACAGTGGCTCTTCCTTCTGTCTTCTCTCTCTTAGAGTCATATAAGAGTCATATTCTTCTGGCATTTATCTCACTAACCTAAACAGTTGGTCCACATGTCCTTCTCCTTTACTAGTCTATTCTCACCTTGAGGCTTGACTCATAATTGACCACTATATCCAAAGTGCCAGGCACAAGGTCTGACAATGCACATTTACTGAATGGCTAAATGAATTCTTGACATAATGCTACACACTGAAAGTGCTAAAGTGACTCTAGTGACAAACATGATACTTTGCAAAATGCAATGTACTTAACATGCAAGGCATAGTCTGAATGAAGATGAGTACCTATGACACTCTCCACAGCCTGAAGGTGGTATAGGACTCACACCATATGCATTCAAACATTCTTTCCTACATTCAGCAATCTTTATTAAACATTAGGCACTATGCTAGATATATGCTACTGAGAGTACAAGTGAGTAGAAAAAGACAAAGTCTTTTCTTTGAGAATGTTTACAATTTTAGTAGGACAGAGACAAATAATCTATTCTTACACAAACTTTGCTCAATAAATGTTATGAAGAAGAGGTACATGATACAGTGAATAAAGGGGGAAAGGGATCCAGTTAGTTGGGACTAGAGGGAGTGAGGCTTACACCAAGTTCTAAGCAAAGAAATAAGTGAATCTAATAAAAGGGAAAGTAAAAAGAGGTTCAGTGGAGAGAGCAGAAGAGCAGTGCAATGGTGAGCAAGGTGGTAACACAGTGCAAGGTGAGGCCAGAGAAAGCAGAGGCCAGACTCAGAGAGACTTGAGCTGTTTCTTACCCTAAGAGCACTCAGTAGTAACAACTGGGGTCCAGAAAATGCTTTTCTGGCTTAACAGCATGGAAAACAACTGTGAGATGCAGGCAGAATAATCAGGAGGCTATTAACACTTTTATCAAGGTGTTATCATTTGCCTCCTAAAAGATATACTGGTCTTGATTCAGCTTTTTATATTTCTTCCAAATCAGACATCACTGAACTGTGTATTTGTTAAGTAGTAACGTTTATTAAGTCTCTGTGTTCCTGGGAGGCTAACTCTCCCAATTGTCAAAAATCTGCTCTAAATATCTGAGGGCAGGCTGCATGTGATCTGTCATGATTAGAGGCTGGAAGTTACTGAGGAAAGGTGTGGTGGGAAATAGGCTTCTTTTAGTGGAGCTAGAGATTCCCTAATTGGGAACATGCCAATACAAAACTAAAAATATAGACTTAGGCGGAAAATTCAATGTTCAATGGCAATACATTACTTTTGAGTTACTAAGCTCTGCAAGTATAATTAAGATTCTAATATTTTTCATTTGATATTACATATTATAACTCAAAACAAATTCATTTAACTTTTAAAAGTGATGCCCTTTGTACAGGTATATCAAGGCATAAACTCTGAGTAGGAGCCTGTTTTTTGTTTACTGGCTCTGCATATCTCATTTACATTTAAATCTTACTCATAGAATACACCTTCTGGCCACATGGTCCATTTAGAGAACTCCAAACATGCCATGTACTCCATGCTTTTCCCCTACTGTTCCCTTGCTTTATGAACACCTACTCATCCTTCAGCGTCCAGCTCAAATGTCGCCTGCTCTGCAGAGCTTCCCCCAACTCCCACAGCCCAGAGCTAATTACTCCCTCCTCGGTGTTTCCATAGCAATGTGTTGATATCCTTATTATAGCACTCTGCATCGTGGGAAAGATGGCTGTTTATGCTTCAGCTTCCCCTGTTAGACAGTGAGGGCAGAAACTGTGTCTCTATCTTTTTATCCATGTAGCTGAGAACAACGCTGGACATAACAGGCATTCAGTGAGCAAGACAGAGAAAAAAACATGTCATAGAATCGATCTGTTTCTCATCACACCACATCTTCTGCAGAATGTCATTATTTTCTCCATTAACTTTCTACATTAACACTGCTGGTGAGAAAGGTATACTCTTTCTTTAGTTCCACAAGGATAGCTTTTTCCTTGAATAAGTGACATGTTTATCCTATCCTGCTTTCTGTTCAGAAGAATCTTTAGGTTAAGGATAGTCTGTCTTCCAGAGAAGTTCATCTTCTCTCATCAACTATATGATCAACTACAGATATACATAAAATTTTCAATTTGATCTTAAGAAGAAAATTCCTAAACCTACAATTTTAATAATGTTGTAAGTTATTCTTGGTTTAATACAAAAAGATCACCAAAATAAGCACCGAGGTAAGTTTTAGAACAAAAACTTATGATTGGGGGAAAAAAAACCACAGGGATCTTATTTCTGTATGTCTTCTGTATTCTGATTAATGCCTAGGACAGTGATAAGTATTTAGGAGATGCTCATAAACACTAGCAGCTGCTAATCTGTGACTCACTTTTTATTTTATTTTTTAAAGAATTATGTCACTCATTTATTAAATCTAGCCAATGTGTCTTACAAATGAGCAACTTCTCTTCCTACTAAAACATCTTGGCAAATCAACTTTAAAAGTTCCCTATAAGTTGATTACCTTATGAAAGGTAACAATATGGTTAGATTTATTGAGGTCATGTGAATAGTTTTGTGTTCATTTTTGGTGTGTATCCAAGGGAGGGCAGTTTAAAAGCAAAGTTCCTCACTTTTAACAGATAACCTGTGATAACAATGTACAAGTTGGTATAAGTGAACTACTATAGTCCTAGTATCCATTTCTTTTATAGGATGCAGGGAAGAAAAAACCAGTATTGCTGCTCAATCATCCACATTCTTATGAAATGAAAGTGTGTTAAACAGTTAGCTCTTGGGACTTTGGATTAAATGTTAGAGTCCCCAATAGCCTGCAGTTAGTAGGTAATCAGTAAGTATCTGTGAAGGAATTAATTAACAGTATATTTTATATTTTATATATTCATGCAAAAACTAGTCACGAAATTGGCCATACACTTATTTTTCCCCATGAATGAATTAAGTTTAGCCCCTTTGATGAAAATGGATGCTTCCTTGATACAAATGCACACGTTTCTTAGGGACTTTTGATTAAACGTGGGAGCAGGTTTTCTTTTACAGGTTTGAAGATTAATAAAAGTGATTTTGATATATCAATTTTCACATTATACACAACTCAAGCAATCTATATTTGCTTAAACAATGACAAAATTTAAACTAGCTTCATGCATGAAATTACCATGTTCCAGTCTGCTTCAACTTTTCTGAATATGGATTCCATTTTCCACACACCATTCTCCCATCCAGAAATGGTTTGATTATTATTTGAAACTCGGACATAACGATCTTTCACAATATTATAACAAAGGTGGAGCTGTTTCAAAATCTTCTCATTTTCAGAAGGAATGAACAGGGTTTCTTTTCTCTTAAAAAGAAAGCAGAATTAGTTTTTCAACATATGGAAGACTATATATGAGGAACTGCTATGTACAGTAGTAAAAGATTCCTTCAACTTGAAAATGAAAAAGTTGGTGCCATTAAAAAATTTGGAAAGCATTTTATAGGTTACATATGATCAATATGATGTGGGTATAACACCAACCATTACTAAACAGAAAATAAGAAATATAAACTATATATAGCTCTGATTTATATTTTTGTGCTTTGTGTTCAACCTAAATTCATTTCTTTTTCATTTCTACCACCAACATCTCCAAATTGGACTCCATCTCCTAAAGTTGACTCCCAGCTATCAACTCTTACCTCTCTTATCCATCCTCCACATAGCAATGAAAGTGATTTTCTAGAAATTGGGATAAATTGGGATATGTCACTTTCTTGCTTAACTCACTCCAATGATTTCCACTTAATGTACTTAAACTCCAAACCTTTACCAAGGCTACTAGTACTCTAAATGATCTATTCCCTATTTACTTCTCCAACCAATATCGTGTTACTATTCCCTTTGCTCCTCAAAAAGGTCCAGCTAACTCCTGCCTCAGGGCCCTGACACATGCTGTTCTTGCTATCTGGAATGCTGTTCTTTTTACTCTTCATATACTTGATTCTCTCTCATCCTTCTGGCCTCAACTTAAAGCCATTTCACTAGAGTGTCTTTTCCTGATACCCTAAACTAGGAGAGTGCCTGGGACACATAGCTTGAAACAATCTTCTACATGTGTGAAATTACTACAAAAGGTTATGTTTTACAACTTAAATTCCAGGAAAAAATTGCATTCTAGCCCAAAATAAATCCCTGTTTCTTGTAATGTAAATCAGTCCCCAGAAATCCTGAAATCACTGAATGAGAAGATAATATATTTATCCTGTGTCTTTATGTGCCACTAACACAATGGTCCCTTGTTTTTTAGACATGAGCATAGTAGCATTTTGTTATAGGAGCTGCCCTGTGCATTGCAGGGTGTCTTATCAGACATTGCCAAATATGCCCTGGAAGGCAAAAATCATCCTCCACTGACAAACACTGCTTTAGTCTGTGTCAGTGTCTTGCCACAGTATTTGCTAATCAATTAAAAGAGTAGGCAAGGGTTTTTTTTTTTTTTTTTTTTTTGTTAAAGACTGGGTACTAGGTATTAAACAATATGAAAATTTCAAATATCTAAGAATCAACAAGCAGAATATAAAACAGAAACAAAAAGAGAAAAAAAGTATGTGTATGTACTTATCACTGTCAGTATTATTAAAGTAGTAACATTAAATGTATGAAAAAGATAATTCCCTAGAACTTGTGAATAATACTGTCAAAAAGGTAAAAAAAAGCTTATTTTTAGAAAATGATTTATAATTATGAATGATCATTTCAACACAAGCATATAACAAAATTTCCCAATTCTTTTCTTCTTTATTGAAGATATTTTAAAGATGCTGACATAAACCAAATGAAAATAAAATTTAAAAGTAGTATTATCTACAAAGGCTAAAGTAGTATCTACAAAGTATCTACAAAGTAGTATCTACAAAGGCTAAAAGTAGTATTATTTACAAAGGCTAACTAATTTACAAAGGGAAAAGAAAGATATTTATGCCACCAAACATAATCATGTATGCAACTGAATAATCTGGAGTAAGAATAACATTAATATTTCACAAAATCTTTATAAAAAATCCTTTTTAAAAAATATTTTATTTATTTGAGAGAAAGAGAGCAAGTGAGTGGGGGGAGAAGTAAAGGGAAAGGGACAAGCAGACTCTGCACTGAATTTGGAGCCTGATGTGGGACTCCATCTCGCCATCCTGAGATCATGACCCAAGATGAAATCAAGAGTTGGACAACCAACTGAGCCAGCCAGGAGCCCCTCATAAAATATTTAAAATATAAGATTAGGATATAAAACTTTTCTTTCTGGAAATAATATCACCAATGTTTCCTTCTTTTTCCAAATGATTTTAAGGTATAGCTCCATAATTTTTTAGGACTGACATTTTTCATTATTCAATTTACTTTTAAAACAAACATCAACTTCTAAAGAAGAAAATGATTCTTTAAATCCATGGCCATAATAGTCTCCCACTAACTCAGAAATTTAAAAAAAAATTTCAAAAGGGAAGACAATCTGGGCATATGACCCAATTCATATTTTTAAAGTTTAATCAACTTATATGCCATACAAGAGGAAGCACATCCAACCATAAAAAGAAAAAAGAATGAAGACCTAATATCGATGTTTTATTTAAATTGAACACAGCTGTGAATTAAATTAGCTCTTTAAATTGGCTTCATTTGGATTTAAACTTGTAACTTGCACTGCATCAGCAGTGATTTGAATTATCTGTTGAATTTAGATCTTGTAATTCTATGGCTCAACCAACACTTTCAACTGCTTCCTATAGATGATGAAGTAAATTAAAAAGCAAAAAAGCAAACAAAGTTTACTGGGGGTAATTCACTCATTTTGGACATATTCCTTTATTGGAGATAAGAGTTGCAACAATGGCAAATTTAGAAAAAGCAGATATAAAACTCCAATTTTTTGGAACTGTTTGATATGATACTGTGGTGGGTTATTTTCCTTCCAAGCATTTTTTCATTACATATCTAGACATTTATATAAAATAATTTTTAGTGAGTCAACTTTAAGTTTCCTAAGGACAAGGGTCAGGTCTACTGCAGGTCTTTCTTAATGTCCATTACAGAGCACATGACTTTTCACCTAGCCCCTAACTATAGGCATATTTCCATTGTTCATTATTTAATTTTGGGACATTAATCAAGAGACAATGTCTTAGAGATGCCTGGGTGGCTCAGCAGTTGACTGTCTTTGCTTCAGGGCGTGATCCAGGGGCCCTGGGATAGAGTCCTGCATCGGGCTCCCTGCAAGGAGCCTGTTTCTCCTTCTACCTAAGTCTCTGCCTCTCTCTGTCTCTCATGAATAAATAAATTAAAAACAAATCTTAAAAAAAAGAGAGATAATGTCTTAATATAAATCTGACAATATAATAGTAATCACACCAGCAATGATAATTTGTAGGCAATACTAGATGCGATGCATGTAACAAGTATATAAGAAATAAACATTTTCATCCACTGAATTATCCAGATTCTATTATATTTCTCACTGTACTTCATTAAACCTATACATATACATATGTATAAATACACACACACACACACACACACACACACACACACACACACAAAAGTAAGCAAGGCTCTCTAAAATGTATAAAATCCTGAACAGGCATTTCCCAAAAGAGGATACCCAAAAATTTAAAGAACAGGCATTCAGCTTCATTAGTCATCACTAAAATGCAAAGTAAAATCACAATATAATACTACTACATACCACCAGAACTGCTAAAATGAAAAAGACAATACCAACTAAAGGCAAAAATGTGCAAAACTCTCATACATTGCTGGTGAGAGTGTAAACTGGCACAACGGCTTTGGAAAACTGCTTGGTAGTATCAACCAAAGCTGAACATACTCCTAACTCCCACTCTATCACCTAGCAATTCCACTCCTAGGTATAAACCTAACTCAAATGCATAAATACATTCACTGAAAAAATGTATATAAATGTTCACAACAGTACAATTTTTAACAGTCAAAACCTAAAAACACCCCCCCCCTTCCCCAGGCTCCTGGGGGCCTTTCCTACCCCCATCAGCATCAATAAAACCTCCTGTCTCAAAAAAACAAAAAAAAAAACAAAAAAAAACAACCTAAAAACAGCCCAAATACCTATCAATGGTGGCATGGATAAATTGCAGTGCAGTTATACAATGGAATATTGCATAGCAATGGGAATAAATGTGCCACAAACATGCTGCAAAACGTCTGAGTTTTATGAAATAATGTTAAGAGAAAAAAAATATTTACAAGAGTATATGTATTACAATTCCATTTACACAACCATAATAACAGGCAAAACTAATCTATGATGTTAGAAACCAAGATAATGGTTACTCTTAGTGGTGGAAGAAGTGACTGAAAAGAAACTCTTCATTGTTCCTTGGATTCTGATGGTCTATTTCTCACTCTGGTTGGTGGTTTTGTGGGTGCTTTCACAAATCTGTGAAAATCTGCTAAGCTGTACATTCCTGATTTGTGCATTTTTCTGTATGTACCTCAGTTACAGTTACACTTTACTGAAAGTTCACATAGAAAAATCCCATTTTAAAATGCCTTGCTAAGTCCTGCATTTGAATATACTATGTCAATCAGTTACTGGTTCTTTCAAATGTTTATTTTTTAAAATAATTACTCTAAAAAGTTAATTGAAAGGTCATAACCAATGCATTTTTCTGTAGGTACAGAGCACAGTAGTGGAAGCGGTCAAGTGAGAAGATTATCATGCTATAATGAATTAAATACCTCTAGACCCATTTCACCTCGGGCTACTCTCCAAGCCACTGACCCAGATATTCTTCCACCAAGTTCTCCAGGTTTAGGGGTTTTGGGAGATATAAATTCAACAAGCTCCACAATTATCCTCTGGAGAAGTTCTTTTCTTCTGTTTTCTGACAAAGATATTTGCCTCTGTAATTCATGTTTTAAAAAAAGCAATTAATATTAGGGAAATGTAGAGGTCCATCTCTAAGAAAGAATATACATAAAACATTTGTATTTTAACAGGATCTTGAAAGACAACCAACTTTTTGTTCATGTGTAGTTATTTGGAAAATAAGACACTATGGAAAACTTAAAATAATTTTATAAGCTTTATGTAAAAAAATAATTTGACAACCATATCCAACTCTTCACGACCTGGATTTTAAAATGGAGGTAGCAATTTCTGCTTCCAGCTACGAGAGACTAACTTATGTCAGAAACAACTATCTGGGGAGCCCAGGTGGCTCAGCAGTTTAGCGCCGCCTTCAGCCCAGTGCGGTATCCTGGAGACTTGGGATTGAGTCCCAAGTTGGGCTCCCTGCATGAAGCCTGCTTCTCCCTCTGCCTGTGTCTCTGCCTCCCTCTCTCTCGCTCTGTGTCTCTCATGAATAAATAAATAAAATCTTATTAAAAAAAAAAAAAAGAAACAACTATCCTACCAAGAAAAAAATACAAAAGCCGTGCAAAACATTAAATGCAGACACCCAGGTATACACACCACACCTGTTTAAATACAGCAGAAAGCTACCAAGGTAACTAGAAGCTATGATCCCAGGGAAAGAAATGAATTGTATGAAAGGAACATACTCTGACTCTTTCCCTTCCAGGCATTTGCCAATTATTAACCGGTATGAGCAAAAGAGGGTGAGAAAGCAAGCACAAAATGATGGCTGCCGTGTTGAAAAACAGCAAAATTTTACAGAACCACAGTACTGTGGAGTTCAGAGCCTTTCAAGGTGAGAGGCTCCAGTAAATACTCCAGATTTTCAGGTTAGGATCTCTGAAGGGCTGCACATTAGAAGGTGAAATTCCAAAGAGACTGAAAACTTCACCTTGAATCTCAATCACTGAGTTAAGGGGATCTGCCCTATTCTAATTGCTTGCCAGAAGCAAAATTAGGTTTGGCTTTTAAATTATAAAAACCCTTACACATGTATAACGGTAAAAAATTTCAATACTACCAAAGGAATATAAAATAAAAACTGAATTTTCCTTTTTGAACCTCTGAGTTTCTCTTTTCAGAAGTACTCATTGTTAACAATTTCCTGTGCCTTGTTTCCAAAATTTCCACCCTTGGAGAAGTGTGTATAATTATATTCAAGACATAATTTCTTTGAAAAATAAAACATACTATATATGTCTAGTATTACATATATTAAAATTTTGTTTCTAAACTTTGGAAAAGAGATGTGACAATTTAATACACAAAACCCCCACAATATTTAAAATGAGTCCTCAAAATTTTCAATGAACAAAAAAAACTTATGATATTAGAATACTTTTGCTTGCAAAATAATGCTACTACTTTCAGAATTTCAATGGGTTAAAAACTGGCCATTCTTGATTATATAAAAACTTCAAATCTCTTCTTAAAAGTGCCAAATGCCCATACCTGTTTATTAAGTCCATTAATAGTTTCTCGAAGTAATTCTTCTTTAACCTCAGTTCTTCTGGAGATTACCTCATCATGTTTACAAGAATATCGCCAAGTGACATCAACCACCTCAAATGACAGAATACAGTATTTAATAAGATTTTAAAAATCAACCTTAATTTGCTAACTACCTAGAATGTATGTAATCCTTAAATAGATTTTTAAAATTGTATCCTTTGTTTAAAATTTTAAAACATATGAAAAAAAGAATGTACTTTTTATTCATTTTTTCTCTAACAGGTATACTCCCAAGAAAGACTGTGATAAAACGAGATTTTCAGAACACTCAGCTTTTTAAAACTTATCTCCAGAGTTGATTTCATAAAATTCAACAAATAAAACCTTGTTCCGTTCCGTTTTTATTATATTAAATTTATATTAAAGAATGAATTTTTGACAAAGGTACAAAGACAATTCAATGGAAAAAAGACAATCTTTTCAACAAATGATGCTAGAACAATTCGTTATCCATATGGAAAATAATGAATTTCAAAATACACAGTGTACTATATATAAAAATGAACTCAAAATGGATGATAGATCCAAATATAATACTGAAAGTATAAAACTTTTTAAAGAAAACAGGATAAAATCATTATGGCTTGGGCTATGGAAAAATTTCTTAGATACATCAAAAAGCACAATGCATTTCATCATCTATATAAATATTAAATTATTATATGTTGTACATGTGCAAGTATATAATGTTATATGTTACTTATATGTCATATAAAAAAGAAAAAAACACAATTCTTAAAAGAACAAACTGATAAGCTGGACTTTATCAATTTTATCTCTTCAAAAGTCACTGACAGAATGAAAAGACATGCCACAGACAGGGAGAAAATCTTTGCAAAGGATTTATCTGAAAAATGACTCCTATGCAGAATATATAAAGAATCCTCAACAATAAAAAAATGAACAATCCAATGAAAAAATATTGGCAAAGAGGATGTGCATGGCAAATAAGTACATAAGAAGATACTCAGTATCATTTGTCATTAGAGAAATGTAAATGAAAACCATAATGAGATACTACTTCATATCTATTAAAAGGGCTAAAATTAAAACAAAAAAACAAAACAGATGACCATACTCTGTGTTAACAAGGATATGGAGAAATTGGGAACTCTCACATATTGCTGGTGAGAATGTAAAATGGCACATAACTCTGGAAAAGAGTTCAGCAGTTTCTTAAAAAGTTAAACATACGCCTACCATATGATCCAGTCATTCTACTTCTAGGCATTTTTCAGAGAGAAAGGGGAGCATATGGCGATATAAAGACTTGTGCCTAAATGTTTACAGCAGCTTTATTTCAAATAGTAAAAAACTGGAAATTACCCAAATGCCCATCAACAGGTGAGAATGGATAAACTATGGTACATGAATTCAATGGAATACCTAGCAATAAAAATAATTTTTAAAAAATATTTTAAAAAATTATTTGAGAGAGTGCAGTGAGCAAGAGAGAACATGAGCAGGGGGGTGGAGAGGGAGAGGGAGAAGCAGCAGGGAGTCTGACTTGGGACTCTATCCCAGGACTGTGAGATCCATGACCTGAGCCAAAAGCAGATGCTTAACCAACTAAGCCACCCAGGCACCCCGATATAATAAATTATTGATACAGGAGAATAAATGGGTGAATCTCAAAATAATTATTAGGCTAAGTAAAAGAAGTAAAAGAAACCGGACCACACCCACCAAAGAGCATATACTGTATGATTCCATTTCATGTAAAGTTCTGGAAATGCAGATTAATCTATCATGAAAGAAAGCAGATCCATAGTTGCCTAGAGAGGGGCAAGAGGGATAACAAAGGGCATAAGGAAACTTCCTGGGATAGTGAGTATGTTCACTACCTTGACTACAAAGATAGTTTCATGGGTGCATACAAATGACAAAATGTATTAAGTTATACATTTGAAATAGACGCCACTTGCTATATGTCAGTAATACCTTCAAAGCTGTCCAAAAGCAAAGAAATTATATTTCATTCTTAGAAAAAAATTTTTCTTTTGCTTATGCCTTACCTCATCCTTAGAAAATGCAATGACATAGGAAAGCTTCTTGCCCCACCCTATTTCATAAAGGAGTGGCTTATCACATACATCTTCACATGCGTCACAGTGCAGCCACCGCTGCTGAGAAGGAGAATAGACTTCTGTCCAGACATGGTCTACTCAAGTAACAGATAACAGAGCAACAGAAAGAAAGGAAATAAAAGTTAAGTTTATAAAACCCGAATGATTTCCAACAACTACATACAAACTCCTAAGATAAGGATCTTATAATAATTTCTAACAGTCTGAAATTTAATTCATAGGTCTGAGTATTTTGGGGCACACAAGACTCTAGAATACTTGTTTTAAATTTTTTGCCTCTTTGAAATCCTTGAAAATGTTTTTGGAATATATCCTGTAATGTAGTCAGTTTTAAGTTTAATTGAAAATAATGTGAGCTATAACTCTAAGGTGAAATACTGAATAGTAGCATCAAAAACATCAGGTTTAGTCTTTGCTAATGTGAAGGAGCTAATGCCACTTTTGAAACTGCAGTCTCTCTTGACCTTTAAGACCCAGAACCAGTAGGTGGTCTAATAAAGATTATTATGTTCTGGTTATTGATGTTCTATATTTGATTGGAAGAGAATAGTAATTTTTAAATGAAGGTTTCATTTTATCCTAAAAAAACAACAGAACCACAAATAAAAATCTGAGAACAAGGGAAACAACTTTTTAACATTTAGATGATGAGTCACTTCTAAATAAGGACAATATAAATTTCACATGGCTTTCATTACATTTTTTTTTTAATATATATATACTGGGATTTAGGGTAAGTCTGCCCACATCATGTTTTATACCTGTATAATCCCAAACATAGCGAGCTTCAAACCCTAAGGCTCGGCAGCACAGTGTAAAACAATTGGCCCACTCGCCGCACCGTCCACATCTTGTTTCCAAAAGTTTCTCAGGGTTATTATACCTATTTTAAAATAGCCACAAAAAAACTTTGATTCATTAACAAAATTAAGAATTTTAAACACTTCATATGATCTCTGTGCTGAATAGTATTATTTCTTAATTCCACATTTAAAAAAATTATTTTTAACTGAAATACAGTTGACATATAGTATTAGTATATATATATTAATTTCACATTCTTAGTGATTAAAGAGTCTAGAATACATGAGGTGTTACGTTAGAATGTTTAGTGAAAAATGATTAATCAGTGGTACAGTCTTCAAGGAGCTTATAGTTCTCAGAAAAAGGAATTAACACAAATAACTAATAATATATGGCAGAATGCAACCAAACCATACAATAGCTCAGATGTAGTGTTACGGGGCAGTGGTTGAGAGGAGAGCTTATATTTGAAGTGGGCCCTTCAGGACAGATTAGATTTGAACAGGTAGAGATTCTCTAGGAAATCTGCTTAAAGCATTAGTATTATTCTAACAAGTGGTATAATTAGCTCATGCATTTAAAAGGTAAACAACTTTAACAAACTACTCAATCAAGATTTTAAAACTTAGTTGAACTCAATTCCACTTAAAATACTTTTCTAATGATCTTTTTGGTCAAAACTTTTTCCTTAACTACTTAAAGGTGCTTGCTAATTTGAAAGTTGTTTTTTGAAAGGTATTTACAGTGACGTTTAAAAAAGTTATTCCCATTAAAAAATTATCATAAAACCAGAGAACACCAAATTTTGCATACTGTGTTGAGGAGGATTTCAGTTGATAAGGCTAAGCAAGGAATGTGCCCCAGCTGAGCAGAGATGTTGGCCGTGAGCCTCTGGAAGGAAACCATTACATGAATAAACTGGCTTGGCAACGACAAGTTTGTCTTAAGCAGATGCTATTGCTTAAACTAGCTAAATTAAATTAATTTATAACTAAAGTAGTTAAGTAATTGAAAAAAGATGTAAATTTACATGAAGAAGTAATAATGGCAGAATTAGAGTATCCTTTGCCTCTTCTATATACGTGTGCCAAGCTGAATGACCAGCTTAGCCTAGAATTAATAGCGTTCATTATCCCAACTCTATACAGAGAACAGTTAACAGTAAAACAAGTATCTTTTTAGCCTGTGCTCCTTCACAGTGCATTATCAGTTTATATCTAATTGCCTAAAAAAGGGGCAGCTCAGGTGGTTCAACGGTTTAGCGCCACCTTCAGCCCAGGGTGTGAACCTGGAGACCCAGGATAGAGTCCCACATCAGGCTCCCTGCATGGAGCCTGCTTCTCCCTCTGCCTGTGTCTCTGCCTCTCTCTGTCTCTAATAAATAATTTTTTTAAAAAATTGCCTAAAGGGATCCCTGGGTGGTGCAGTGGTTTGGCGCCTGCCTTTGGCCCAGGGCGCGATCCTGGAAACCCGGGATCGAGTCCCACGTCGGGCTCCCGATGCATGGAGCCTGCTTCTCCCTCTGCCTGTGTCTCTGCCTCTCTCTCTCTCTCTCCCCCTGTGTGACTATCATAAATAAATAAAAATAAAAAACAAACAAAAAAAAAACAAAAAAAAAAAACTTAAAAAAATTGCCTAAAAAAGTTTAGGAGGAAAGATATTTATATATATATATATATTTTACCTTCCAATCTTTGCAAAATTACTGTGCAAATGTATGCTGAATGAAAAAGCAACTTGGACTAATTTTATATAATTACTGGATATTGGATTCTGTATATTCTATATTGTATATGTCATAGGACTAGTACCTAGTTTTGTCCTAGTTAGGACAAAACGGAGTCCCTGAGCTCCAAAAATTAGGAATTTCAAATACTTGGTATCTTTTCTTGACTGATGATACAAAGTTTTTAAATATTGTCAACTGAAAAAATCTGATAAGAGGCTTATGAATTAAAATATGAAAAACGTTAATTGAAAAGTTCAAACTTCTTTAGTTTAAAATTTAGATAATGGGGTGCCTGGGTTGCTCAGCTGGTTAAACGTCTGCCATCTGCCTTCTGCTTTCGGCTCAGGTCAAGATCCCAGGGTCCTGGGATCAAGGCCCAAGGTCAGGCTTCTCTGCTCAGCGAGGAGTCTGCTTCTCCCTCTGCCTCTGCCCCTCCTCCCTGCTCATTCTTTCTCTCCCTCTCAAATAAATAAATAAATAAAATTAGAGACAAATAAAATTTAGATAATGAAGATATGTTAGGTTGGGTGGAGGAGGCACCTGATTAAAAAGAAAATAAAATAATATGATGGTACTAGACTTCTACCTTCCTTATTACCATTTAATGATTATTTTAAGCACAACACTGTGTTTACTCTCATGATTTATCAATATTATTAATGTTGCTAGTGTTATTTTTATGTGCTATCAATCATTATTAAAGTTACCAGAAAGTTAAAAGTTACATAATTAAAAGAGCAATACAGGATTTACAGTATTAAATGTGCTCAGACTACACTCAATTTATATTCTACAGCAAGAATAAACAAACTTCTCCTATAAAAAGGCAGTAATTATTTTAGACTTTGCAGGCCATATGGCCTGTTACCAGTATTCAACCCTGCCACTGGAATGTAAAAATCATAGACCATAATAAGCACACAAATCAGCATAAATGTGTTCCAATAAAGCTTTATTTACAAAAATAGGATGTGGGCTGGATTTAGCCTGCCAGCTATAGCTTGCTGACCTCTGTCCTAGAGAAATATATTTCTAATAATTAAAAAGTTCATTTAATAAAAATCATTTTCTAACCATTCCATTAAGAGATCACTCTAACTTTACTGTCCAGTGGACACCCACCTTGGGAATCGATTGCTGAACTGGCACACATCACAGTAATGATCTTCTACTCTGTTTGCACCCCATTTCATCTCATCCTCATTGGGAAATAATGATTCACCTCTAGACTTAGTCTGGCCACCACATTTGCTGCACAAAATGTCATTCACCCATTGAAAAAATTCTTCCTTAAACCAGTGTAAAAGCTCCAGCAGAAGAAAATCCTCATCACTTACTTTAGTACCTGAGAAGTTAAAGCACAGTCAAGTTAAGATCTAAAGCTGACAAAAGCTAAAAATAGTACACATATTTTATTCTTGACTATGGAACTGAAATATATGAAAATAGAAGAAGATCTAAAAGGTTTTCACAAATATGATGCAAGAAAAGAACGTCAAAAAAAAAAAAACTGTAAGCATATTGTGAACCAGGCTGAAATACAACATAATACATTGCACATTTATAGCAGTAGAACATTTATCACTCTCTAACCTCTAACCAACATTATATACTAACAAGTGAGCTGAATATGAAAACCTCTTGGTAAACTATGGTCAATGTGTAATTGATCTTGAAACACAGGGAGGTTAAAAAAATCAGTCTAATTTTTAAAAATATTTAAAAAGAACTATAGTCAACTTGTTACCAGGTATATACACAAGTAAACAAGAAATAATCACAAACTCACAAACAGAAATCACAGAATTCCAGACAACTAAAAAAAATCAACCTATCAGCTTTTCTATCAGTTTTTTAACTATACAATATTATCCATCTGTGAATACTCACCACAAATCACCTAAAATACAATGTCTGCACAGTATAAAACAACCTAGCAAGTAAGTGTGGCTTCTAATATTATAATATTGTATCTATTTATCAAATAAAAAGATGTCTCTTGACCACATTCAAGACTGGTATGTCTGGGAAGAAGAGAAGGAGAGGAGAAAAGAATCTAGGAGATACCGGGAGTTCTCATCTCTTTCATGTTTTATTATTAAGAGGTGATTATAGAACATATATATGAAGGAAATATATGGCATAATGTTAAGATCCAGTAAAGTTTAAAGCTGGTCATAGGTGTTTGATACATTATATTCTATTTCTATACTCATACTCAATTTTTTTGATATAGTTCAAAATGAAAATGATTATAATAGAAAAAAACTAGAGAATATAAAGCCTGGAAATATATTATGTTCCTGGATGGGGAAACAATATTCTAAAGTTAATTCTCTATTAATTAATCTGTAATTTAATGCAAACCCCAAAACAATCATAAAGCAATTTAAAAAGTATTTAATTTACAAATTTAAACTTTATAAAATAATTTTTCATAAAATTTGACTAAGAACTATACGATAAATTCATCTAGTACATGTAAAATACATTAAAGAATTCTAATAATTAGAAGTTGTGCTATTAGTGAAGAACAAAGCAGATCACTGAAACAAAAGAATGACTCCTGAAAGACTTCTGAGTGATACATAGTATCTAATGAAGTTATTGGCCTTTCAAAGTAGTTCTAAGAGGATGGACTGTTCAATAAATGATTTAGGGACAATATAAAATACTATATTGAGAGAAGGAATAGTATAAAGGTAATAGAAGTTACAAAAGAATCTGTTTATGACTTTGTGGTAGAAAAAGGCCTTCTTAAGCAAGATGCAGACTGTGAAATCAATAATGGGGAAAATACACTTTCTTATATTAAAATTAAGCTTACAAATTTCAAAAGATACACTAAATGAAATTAAACGAAGAACACTCGGAGAAAAAAAAATGTAACATGTCTAACAAAGAAAAGATCCAGAATATAAAGAACCTCTATAAATTGGTAAGCATATTAGCAAACCCATTAGAAAATTTCAAAGTCCATAAAAGAAGTCCAATAATTTCATTAAGTGGAAATAAATACTCTCGGACACTTCTGATGTAAATTGAAAGGCAATTTGTTTGACAGGATCCTTTACAGTGTTAAATACCACATACCCCTGACATTTTTATGTTTCTCTCCCAGAAACGCTTGTGCATATATACCACAGGACATGCTCTACAAGAATTCTCACTGCAGAAGCATTTAAAACAGATATAAATGGTAAGTAATCTCAATGTGTATTAATAGGGAACTGTAAAATAACAGTATATGCATTGGAGAGTTAAAAAGATTCTATGGAGAGTTAAAAAGATTTCTAAAATAAATTAGTAAATGAAAAACACCAAGAAACTGAAGATATATGTGACGATTAGTTTTATGTAAACACACTATTTTTACAGGTAACTCTTTATGGGTGTAAATACATAAGAAAAGATATGAAAAGGAACATATCACACGATAATAGCTGTTACCTACGGAAGAGGTGTAGTACCGATTAGCAGGAAGAGTTTAGCTTTTCTCATGAGATTAAGGTTCATATTAGATTAAAAATGAACTTTAGAAATACAGCCCTGCCCCCCTTCTTCTCCATCAAGTACCTAAAGCAGAGTAATCTTTTTAAAAATGCAATATTGTATCACTCAAAACCCTCCAATGGGTTTCTATCTCACTAGGATACAATCCAAAGTCTTTACTCTTTCTTACCACAATTGGTCTCCTCTGGTAGGCTGAAAAATGGTCTACCAAAAGATACCCACATTCTAACCCCTGGAGTCTATAACTGTTACCAAATACAGAAAAAAAAGAAGGCAGCCTTTAAAGCTATGATGAAGTCAAGAATTTGAAAACAGGGGATTATACTGGATAATCTGGGAGGACCCTAAATGCATACAATCTTAGAAGACGGAAGCAGAGGGAAATTTTACACATACACACAAACACACACACAGAAGGCAACGTGATAGCAGAACAGAGAGAGATAGCGTGGCCTTGTTAACATCATTTCAGCCCAGTGATACTGAAAATGGACTTCTGGCTTCCAGAACTGGAAGTGAATAAATTTTGTTGTTTTAGGTCACCAAGTTTGTGATAATTTGTTACAGCAGACACAGGAAACTAGTATACCCCCTTTATTTCTCTGATCTTGTTCATTCTGCTACAGGCACCATGTTCTCATCCTTTAAACATGCCAAACTCACTCTCACCTAGAGGAGCCTTTTCAGTTGCTGGTGCCTCTACCTGGAATGGAAATCATTGCTTTCCAAAGAAGCCTTTTCTGACAACCCTGTACCAACTAGCATCCTTCTTAACCAGTCTCAATTCTGTTATCCTGACTTATTTGTTCTTCCTGGCACTTATCTACTTGCTATCTTTGAGTATTTGGGTTTTTTAGTCTGTCTTACCCATGACAGCAGGGACTTTTGTTCTGCTCTTTGCTGTATTCCTAACACCTCGAGCTGTGTTGTCACACAACAGGTGCTCAGTAAATATCTGAATAAATGATGGACTAAAAAAATAAGTCTCATAATATTAGAATTAATACTGTTCACCAAATAGTCATTATCAAATTGGGAAAAGAAGGGAAAGGAAGACAGCATCCTTGTACTTCTGTGTTATATGTGCTCCAGACATACATTAGCGGCCTCCCAGTTAGAAGTAGGACAGAGAATGAGGTCCATCTGAGGATCAGTACTCCTTGATCAAGCAATATCTTTAATTATGGCTCAGAGAAACCCACGTGGAATCCTGTCTGTAGAGGATAAGAGCTCAGAAAGCTCACAGATACGGGGCTTAAAGGGAGGTTTGACTTAGATACTGAATTCTTTTTTTATTTGCTTTTTGGTTTTTTTAGATGCTAAATTCTGTGAGAGTATGGACAATGTATCAGAGTGTGAAGAGTACATTTTAAAATTATAAATAAGACTTCAGATTAATACATTTATCATCTTCAAAAATACCATGCAAATAGATTTCTGGTTAACCTTCAGTGACAAAAATGAAGGTCTTTTTGTTGTTGTTGTTACAGATTTTATCGATCGGAGAGACAGAATGAGTGAGAGAAACATATGAACAGGGGCAGAAGGAGAGGGAGAAGCAGATTCCCAGTGAGTGGGGAGCCCGATGTGGGGCTCGATCCCGGGATTCCTGGATCATGACCTGAGGCCAAAGGCAGACCCCTCAACTGACTGAGCCACCCAGGCACTGCAAAAATGTACATCTTGAGTTCATCCTATGAAAATTACAGACATTAGTGTGCATAAGAGGAAATGAGAAGAAAACCAGTAAAAACATCAGTACAGGTAGTCTCATCCTTATATACACCTTAATACTCAAGATTCTTCCTCCCATGTCTTCATATTCAATTTAGTAGGCCAACATATATTTTATTTCACTTTTCCAAAATGACAGGGTTCTTTCCTCTTTACAAAAGGTGTTTCGCCTATATTTGGAACACTCAATCATGACAAATCTTCTTCTGTCTTCCAAGCTAGAACTATGAAATCATGGTTCTCTGAGCCTCACCTATCTCTAACGGTATCTCAGTGGGTAGGATTGTCAGGTCCTCGCTTCTGCTTCAAACCAGAACATTTTTCTTTGTTCAGAAACCCAGAACAAGATTTACATGGGGATAAAATGAAAATTAAAAAATGAATGAAAGAAAATCACCATTATATCTACATGTGGCTAGTAATGCCCTGTTTTCTAGAACTTCTGCAATCCCTCCTTTCCCCCTTGCCTTTTCATTCTGGGAAATCTCATTTACTTGCACAGCTTTACCTATCATCTTAAAATGTACATCAAGGCTTGACCTCTTAATAGAACTCCAGGCTTATATTTTCACCTGTTCCAGATAATGGTCAGCAGGTACTTTAAACCATTTCCTTTCAAAGCCTGTTCCTATTGACTCCTCTAATCTTCTAGTTTCCTGAATTCAAAACTAGAGTTCTTGACATTTTCCTTAAGCATATCACAGCAAACATACTCATCACCGGCAAACATTATGTATTCTATCACCCCAATAACTCACATCCATTTTCTTCCCTGCTGCCACAATACCCCATTCACCCTAATTCCTCTTATAGAAATTCTATTACTACTGTTTCAGCTGTTTTCTCCTTGCACTCCGTTATTCTTGTTCATCTTACAACTTATTGCTAGATCAATCTTCCTTAAGCACACTTCTGATGTCACTCACTTGCTTAAAGCTTCAATGGTTAATGCTGCTGAATTAAGTAATCAAGAATACTTGGCTTCTCCGAGCAATTGCTTTATTGCCTCTTTGCTGATGAGTACAGTTACATGATATTTTTGCTTAATGTTCAATCATACTAGCATTGCAATGTTAGCCTTACAAATAAGACATGTACATCCTCCTAAGTTCTTTGGTCCTTATTTTCTATATCAAAACTTTATTAGAAGTATTCTTTGTTGCATCCTATCTCTAGTTCTTTGGTGTACATTTTTTCTGCCTGAAATTCAGTGTCAACCAAAATATGGTCTCAGCCTATTTAATCTCTCACTACTGTTTTACCCACTCCTTATGCTATACACAGCCAGGCTGTATTACTCATTGTTCCCCATATAGAGCCTGTAACTTTTTTGCCTTCATACATGCTGTTCACTACATTCATAATAATATCCCTTATCCCTGCCTTAATAAGTCCTTTGGCATCTCAGGTTATTATTCCAACTTACCCTTCAAAACCTTTAAAAAAAAAAAAAAAGCTCAATCTTTAACTGATTTTCACAATACCATTCTACCAACCTGATATGTTCCTTCTTTCCTACTAAACCTCCATTATAGTGCTTTTAATTTTAAGTATGAAAGGATATATACAGAAATGTCAAAAATCATACTCTGATGTGAAGTTATAGATGGCTTACCCATATTTTCCAAATTTTCTACAAAACAGCCATGTATTACCTTTATAAATAGAGGGGAAAAAATGCCAGGCAAATATCAACAGGGATACTGCTGTGTTTCCCTTATGGGGCTCAGCCCAATGACTCACATATAAAACATGCTTCAGTAAGTACCTGTTAAATAGGCATTTATGGAGGGATCATTTAAAGGAGCACAGTACTTTAATGTGAACAGGGCCTTTGTGATCACATAAATAAGCATTCTCGTTTCATAAATAGTAAAAAAACTGTTAATCCAAGAAGATGGAAGAACTGTCTCAAGGTCTCACAACAATGTTATTGAATTAAGTCTAAGGCCCATTCTGGTTTTCAAATACAAGGAAATGACACAATATAATACTATAATAAAAACAAAACTACCAAAATACAACGGGCAGCTAAATACCTAAATGACATATGTAAGAAGTGATTAAATGATCAAAAAAAAAAAAAAAAAAAGGAAAAGAGATACATAGTTAATCCCTCAGAGAGACTTCTGGTTTTAGCTCTGACATGTAAAGAACTTAGAGTTGTCATTCCCATCATTATGATAACAAAAAACTGAACAAACCAAAATCATGGACTTTTCTTGAGCTCCTTAGAGTTCACAGGGCAAAGTATCTCCTGAAATCTGAAGAGACAGACAAATACAGAGAATCTTGGCCAAATACAGAGAATCGCAACCAGCCATCTGCTTTATGGAACAGAAGCCACTGGAGTCATAAGTTCGAAGAAACACTTAAAGGGTAATTTTGACAAATTGCTGGAGGCCGAATATGGACTAGTTTGAGTAAGAAATACAATCTTAGGAGGGGTTCCTAACATTTTTGTCTGTTTTCCCTCTAAGGATCAGATTTTCTTGGTGAAGAATCAAAAAAGATCCCCTAATAGGTCTGAGAAGGAGAGGAGAAGGTTAAGATATACAAAGTATGCACAGAGTACTCTCTACAATTAAGGCCTTACTCTTCAGGGAAAGAGATTTTACCAGAGCCTTTTCTGAAGTGGGGAAAGGAACTTCCCTGACCCTAGCCACCTCTAGCCTTCCTATCTTGCTTAAGGGAGGGGTGGGGGAAGTTAAGAAAGACTAGGGAAGGTCACAGACCCACTAAAACACTGAGATTTAATCATAAGATTACAGAGGCCTTCTGCACCCCATGCCCTACCACTACACCAAGGCTCTGATGTAACAACAATGGAGTCTAATAAGAGATGCAGACCATATTTAAGGAGGAGTTCTCAGAAAACCCCAAAGACAATGGGGGAAACAAGAAGAATACCAGAGGAATGCTGAAGTTCCTGACATTTGCAGCTAACATTAAACACAGCCCAACTCGGGATCCCTGAGTGGCTCAGAGGTTTGGCGCCTGCCTTTGGCCCAGGGCGCGATCCTGGGGTCCCGGGATCGAGTCCCGCATTGGGCTCCTGGTATGGAGCCTGCTTCTCCTCCCTCTGCCTGTGTCTCTGCCTCTGTCTCTATGTCTATCGTGAATAAATGAATACAATCTTAAAAAAAGAAAAACGAAAAAACACAGCCCAACTCCTCTTTAAAGACATAAGACCTTATATAAAGGGCCTATTCACCTCAGCTCCTACTACCCAATACATCATGTCCAACTTCCAAAAAGTACAAGATGTGTTAAAAAGCAAGAAAAAACAGTCTGAAGAGATAATGCAAGTATCAGAACCACTCAAGATTTTGGAATTAACCGGGGATCCTTGGGTGGCTCAGCAGTTTGGTGCCTGCCTTCAGCCCAGGGCGTGATCCTAGAGACCTGGGACTGAGTCCTACATCAGGCTACTGAATGGAGCCTGCTGCTCCCTCTGCCTGTGTCTCTGCCTCTCCCTCTCTGTGTCTCCCATGAGTAAATAAATAAAATCTTAAAAAAAAAAGATTTTGGAGTTAACCAACAAAGGACTTAAAATAACTATGATTAATAATAATATTAATAATATAATAACCATGATTAATAATATTAGGTGCTCTCATGAAAAAAGTAAACAACATGTTGAACAGATGGATAATGTAAATACAATTTTTTTGTCTGTTTAGAAACCTTAAACAAATCCAGAGGAAATGCCAGAAATCAAAAACACTGTAACAGAAGGGAAGAATGCCTTTCATGAGCCCACAGTAGATGGGACACAGCCAGGGACAGTCAGTGAGCTTGAAAATAGGTTAATAGAAACTTCCCAAACTGAAAATCAAAGAGAAAAAAAAAATTGGGGGGGGGGGGAGGGAGGCACAGAACATCCAAGGACTGCAGGAGAATCTCAAAACGGACCAGAACATCTAAGAACTGTGGGAAATTAGGCAGAGTTACATGATAGCAAAATAGGATACCTTCATTTTGAAATACCAGAAGGAAAAGAGAAACAAAAATATTTGAAGCAATAATGGCCAAGAATTTCCAAAATTAATGAGATTCCAAAACCACAGATCTAGGAGCTCAGAAAACACCAACCAAGAAACTACACTTGGGCCTGTCATAATTCAAACTGCAGAAAACCAAAGACAAAATTTTGAATAAAGCTGGGGATAGGGGGTAAGCTAGGGGATGTAGGGGGGAAACCTTACCTATACAGGAATAAGGATGGGAATTATAGCAGACTTCTTGTCATAAACAATGTAGGTAAGAAGACAGCGGAGTAAAATATTTAAAGTGCTGTTGAAAGAAAAACCTCACCAACCTAGAACCTGTATCCCAGTGATATTATTCTTCCAAAGTAAACAAGAAATACAGGTTTTCTCCTGCAATGAAAAAAAACTGAGGGAATTCATCTCTAGCAGATCTGCCCTGAAAGAAATATTAAAAGATCTTTAGGAAGAGAGAAAATAATATAGATCAGAAATATGGATCTACAGAAACTGTCAGAAAAAGGAGTATATGAAGGTAAAAAGAGAATCTTTTGTTTTTCTTATTCTTGGCCTAAAAAGTAACTTCTTTAAAGAATAACAATAGCAATGTATTGGGTGACTGGAGCATATGATAGCAATGTTATAAGGATGAGAGGAAAGAACTGGAATAATTCTGTTAAAATGTTATCTATACTATACATGAAGGAGAACAGTGTTTTTGAAGGTGGATTTAGTTAAAACATTTATTGCAAACTACAGTAACTGCCAGAAAAATTACATAATCCCCTAGAAAATATAGTACTAAGAAATGGTTTAGATAAAAGCTAATTACAAAAAACCTTAATAGTTTAGATAAAAGCTAATTACATAAAAACTTAAAGTAAAAATGCTGACATTGGGAAAATTTAACAACTAAAATCCTAAGACTTTTAATGATAACACACAAATATTATTGGTTGATAACACACAAATATTATTGGTTGATGGACGTATCATTCTGAGCCATTTACATGTACTATTTCATTTATTTTTAAAAATCATCCTATTTTCAAATGAAGAAACTGAGGTATAGATTAAATTACTTGCTCAGTGATGCACAGTAAAGTGGCAGAGCTGAATTTATCCCCAGGCAGTAGACAGCAGTTGGTGAGGAAGAACCAGATAGCAGTGGACACTATCTCTTTATTAGCCAAAGTGAGTTAATGGTCTATTCATATGGATTGATCTTAAATATGGTTTCTGTCCAATTCACATTAAAATTCACTCATAATACTATCATATGTCCCACAGACTTAAGTTCTACTATACCTACAAAATCTACATATCAATGATTAAATTACAAACACATATACTGAGGTTAAAATATATATATATATATTAAAAAAAGATGTGTTAATAGATGTGTCTATGAGGTACATGCAGTAAAATTTTACTATTGTACTTCTTAAAAATCAAAATAGAAATAGGTTAGGATTTTATGATGTATACAGCAAAAGGCACCATTTCAGAGTTTCTCTGCAATTATGTATTCTTAGCAATGAATGGTTATATAAAACCACTACCTTTATCCAATTTTCTAGCTCTAGATAACTTTTCTTGAGATCTCCTTTTTAGTTCTTGGACTGGAATACAAGCCAGTGCTTTCTCCTGGAGAGCAAGGTTCTCATAGACCAGCACATGCTGAATGTTGGACCGAAGAACTTTTAGAATGACTGAATCAGTAGTAACCTAATAGAAAAAAAATACTGATTAGCTTTTCTCCATATGCTACAAAAATAACACATAACAGAATATGATGGTTCTATGATTTCATACATAAAGAAGAATGTATGGATTCACTGAAATATATCACTCAAAGCCTGTATAATATTATTTTTAGGAGATACTCATATCTAACAGTCTAAGATATATCTATTCTTTTCCTCTGAATGTACTATTGAGGATATATTTAAACAGAGATATGTGGCGCTTGGGTGGCTTAGTCAGTTGGGTGTCTGCCTCCAGCTCAGGTCGGGATCCCAGTTTTCTGGGGTCAAGCCCCACCTCGTTGGACTCCTGGCTCAGTAGAGTCTTGCTTCTCCCAGCTCATGATTTCTCTCTCTCTCTCTCTCTCTCTCTCTCTCTCTCAAATAAAGTCTTTCAACAAAACAAAAACAGAGATATGCTAAATTATTGACTACAAGTTTGGATCAAGATAGTGCTGAAAGGCGCCTACATGGTTCAGTTGGTTAAGGACCCCAATCTTGATTTTTGGCTCAGGTCATGATTGCAGGGTCCTGGGACTGAGCTCTGAGTTGGGCTCCACGCTCAGTGGGGAGTCTGCATGAGGATTCTCTTTCCCCCTCCTTCTGCCTCTCCCCCAGCTTCTCAGTGGGGAACACACACTCCTGTGTGTAAATGTGCGTGCGCACGCATAGCTCTCTAGTAAGTAAATCTTTAAAAAAATAGAGTGCTCTGAGCAACACATCTGACAGCCTTTCCACTTCAAATCCCTATAAGTAACATAATTAAAAAAAACAAAAAACAAACCCAAAACACTCTACATGGCATTAGCAAAGGAGGAACATTCTAAAGGGATCAGGACTTTTGATAAATTCCTTTTTTTTTTTTTGATAAATTCCTGAAAGGAAAAATAGATACATATGGATTAAAGGAAAAAACCATGGCAATATGCTCCCTTCAAAAGAGTGGTTATACTAACACAAAAAAAGGTTCTCAAAATAATCCCAAGGGCAGAGGAGACACAGAATCCGCAGGGCAGAAAAGGGCCTTGAATAAACAGTGATCCTGGCTGGGCTCTGCAGGAGGAATCGCTAGACAAATCTCACCCCTCCACTACCATCATTCCTTCTCAACAAAGAACTATGCCTCTGAGAAGTGAGGGAGGCTGCTTAGATTCCCAAAAGGAAAGAGAAATGTCCAACCTCAGAACAGTTGCTTCTGGTATAGCCCATCTTGAAGTATGTCCTACCCCTCCCCACAGTTGCCGCATTCATAGAAGATAGGCTAGCAGATTTCTGACTCACTAAATCTGCAACGACCCATACTGTTATGAAGATACATTAGAATCAACATCAGAAGAACTAACCCTGTAGCCATAGCAGCAAGTCTATCTTCAGAGATTCAACAGTATACTGTATTCAGAGAAAGGCAACTATGAATCCTGGAAATTAAAAATTTAAACACTAAAATAATAAAGTACAGAAGATGTCAAACAGTAGAATAAACACAGCTAATGTGTGATCAATTAGAAGACTGAGCCAAGACATTTTCTGAGAATGTAGCACAAAAAACCCAAATAGACACTGAGGATAAATCCAAAAGTTTCCAAATTCAGCTAACAGAAAGTCTAGAAAGTAGAGTAGAAAAAAGTGGAAAAGAGAAACTTCTCAAAGAAACAATGGAAGCCAATTTCAGAGTTAAAGAAAGAGCCAGTATGAATGGGGGGATAAAACTAGGCATATAATAGTGACATTTCATAACAGTAAGTAGAAAAACAAAATCCTAAAAGCCTTTTATTTATCAGACATCTCAGAAACAATGAAGCAAAATCTCCGAAATTCTGAGGGAAAATGACTGGGAACACAGGATTCCTGCCCAGCCAAACTTAATCACACAGAATAAGATGTGTGTATATGTAACAGTGTAGAAAGTATATTGCTCCAAAATCTAAAATAATTCTTAGAGATGTTACTGTCCCCTCAAAATATAATATAACCAAAGTAAATAAACAGATTACCCAGGAGTAGAAATTGAGATAAAAGTAGCAGGAGTGCATTAAAAAAATAAACTAGTAAGACCTAAGTTCTGATTATTACAAATAATCATAATTAAAAAGCAAAACCTCTAACTTTCTCATAAACAGAATAGCAGGGAAGGGAACAGAAAAAGAGTAAAAGCTTTCTGAGGTTCTTGTTATGTTAGTAAAAAAATATAAAAGTAAATATTTGCATTAAAAATTTAAGGGCAATAATAGAAGACTAAAAAAAATATTTAACTTTTTTATTTTAAAAGATTTTATGCATTTGAGAGAGAGAGAGAGAGAGAGAGAGAGAGAGAGAGAGAGAGAGCAGGAGCAGGACGGGGAGTGGTGAAGCAGGCTCCCCACAGAGCAGGGAGCCTGATGTGGGGTTTGATCCCAGGACCGTAGGATCATGACCTGAGCTGAAGGCAAACGATTAACCAGCTGAGCCAGCCAGGTGCCCCGATATTTAAGTTTCTAATTTTTAAGGGGAAAATAATAGAAGAAAACTATTCTCAATATAAAACAAAAATAGGAGAAAAAAGGGGAAAAAGCAAAAAGACACAGGCAACACAAAAATAAAATGTCAGAAACAAAGTTCAAAAATATTAACAATGATGGTAAATACGAATGGGTTAAATGCGTATATTAAAAGGTAGACATAGATTAATTTAAAAAAAATGTTCAGGACTTTCAAAAGCTTGGGGATGGGTACACGAGACAGACACAGTCACTTTATTGTTTAAGGGAGGGACAGGCATTAAGTAACGACAAAACCACTGTACTGTCAACAAATATTTAAGTATGTGTGTGGGTCACATACTGGAAAAATAACGGAGACTGAAATAGTCAAGTCAATATCTTCACAAAGTAGTCTATGGATACAGAAACTAATATTGGTACAATGTTCATTTCCTGGGAGTGTGTGTGTAGGGGGACACGCTTAGGAAATTATGTAGGATCAGAATAGAGAGCGTGGAGAACCCAGAGGAAATGGTGGAGAGAGAAAGCTGGGGATGAAGTGGAGTTGATAAGCAACTAGATCTCTGGTCTCTTTCACTGTAATGGGAAGCTATTAAAGATACTTAAGCAAGAGAGTAAAATGGTCAGATTCACATTTTCGGAGTATCACTCTAACTGTAGCTAGAGAAAGGACATTACAGACGACCCAAGGGGGGACCACTGGAGAACTCTAAGAGAGTTGGTGGCTTCAACTAGATGGCTTAGTAGCAGTAGAAAAGTGAATAAAAAATAATTTAGGAAATAGGATCAACAAGTCTTGAAGACTGAATTGTGGAGTCAGGAGGCAGTTAGGAAAGTAGAAAAATACATTAGGAATGATCTGTGGATTCTGAGTGAGCAACTAACTAACTCAATAGTTGAATTAGAAGAAAAACCAAGAAATGATTGAGCTAAAGACGATGAACAGTCAAGTACAAATGAACTGGAAAAAAGTACATTAAATTTAGCAGCATGGAGATCTTTGATGATCTTAGAAGTTTTGTAATAGTGTTAATAAGGAAATAAAAGTTATAAGAAAGTTGTACAGCATAATGGCTTAACAGTACATTATAGAATTTATAAACAAAATGTATATTGAAAGAATATGCTCAAATATTTTACTGATAGGGTACATGATTAAAGAATGGAAGCTTGCTAGACAGGTGTGTGAGAAGTAAAGACACAAGGATGAATATAGGAGGCCCTTCCAGAAACTTGCTGTAAAGAAGAAATGAGAACTACAGGACATGTAGGATCCAGGTCATATAGGAACCAGCATGCTGCCTGTTTCTAAGGTAGAAGAGTTTGCAGGAAAGGTACCTAAACATTAATCTGCTTGTGAAAAATACAGATTTCCCCAATTCCTTCCCTCTTTTTCTGATTTAGCCAGTCTGGGGTTACACCTAGGAATCTGAATGTCCAGCTCAGTCTGATGCTAACAGTCTAACCTCAGACAAAAACTGGCCTAAAGCAAGGTTTAAATGACAACAAGGAGAATCCCCAAGAGAAGAGGAGGTTCAAGACTGCACAGTCCATGTGAGATTCCACAGTGAGCAGAGAAGGGATGCAGGAACAAAGGAGGAACTGGCTTTTATTAAGAGCAGACATGTTTCTCCCATTTACGGAAGGGATGAGTGAACAGATGACTGAAGAAATTTACGATCCAGTGATGAGAAATCCAGGGTATTCCCAGCAGGGAGGAATGTGCTCCTTTACCAGAACTGATACAGAAACACACAAAAATAAAGATCTTCATTTTTGTTTTAAAGGATTCTTACAACAATGAGGCACAGCAGTATTCTTGTTGTTCTTAAATGTAGGTTTTCATTTACTGAGAGGATAAGAACTCATTTAGGGAATTTTTACTTTCAATTTAATACTTCCAATCTGGAAATTACTTCATTCATTGTGGTTTTTATGGCACTCAAACAATTCTGAACAGTAGAGTTTATTTTCTTGCCTTATTTTTATACATATTCTTTGGCACAACTCCATAAATACTAAGTGATAAAAGTGAAGTCTGCCAATTGCGTGGCGACTCCAGCAGCTGGGCAACCAGGTACACAAGGCAGCAGTTAATTCCCTGAGTGAGCTGAAGTTATTTGGAGTAGGAACAGAAGTTCAAAAGGTGCAATCTGTCTGGTTTTAGGTCAAATAGGCAGTTTGCTTCACTGACCATACCTGGATTTCAATTATTTTGGTTTCTAATGTGAAAAATATTCAAGACTCTTCTAAGAAAAAAATTATATAACATGTATATTTTGCTAAATCATGTGATAAAACCTGTGGAAGACGGATTATCAAATTCACTTCTTTAGTAAAAACAACCATAGGTCTTCAAGCCCACCAGTCTTTAAGCAGCCTTTTGCTTTTGTGCCTTTTAAATTTAGAACCTGCTTTTAAACACAAAAGTTCTGTTTAATAATTTTTTGATGATAGTTTTAATCAACTTGGGACTTCTATCACTTTATTTCTTACAAACCCTTCCCCCTTTTTTTTTTCTATTTACAAAAGTAATAAATGTTGTTGCAAGAAATTCTCAGGAAATACTGAGGGGTATAAATAATGTGGAATCACTTGTAATTTCACCCTAAGATAAAATTATGGCTGTCTATGTATAGCTTTCTAGACATTTTAAAATGAACATATTTATGAACGTATATTTTTATTTTTTTTTAATATTTCATTTATTCATTCATAGAGACAGAGAGAGAGAGAGAGAGAGAGAGGCAGAGACAAAGGCAGAGGGAGAAGCAGGCTCCATGCAGAGAGCCTGACGTGGGACTCGATCCAGGGTCTCCAGGATCATGCCCTGGGCTGCAGGGGGCGCTAAACCGCTGCGCCACCGGGGGCTGCCCGAACGTACATTTTTAATAAGAAAATTGAAATATTACACACACACACACACAACATATGCTGTTTTAACTTTGGAATTAGTAGTTTACTGTTTTTTTCTCCCATATAATAACTCTTGTAATGCCAAAATAGACCACATCATCATTTTTAATGGAGGCTAAGAATTCCGGTATACAGATGTGTTATAATTTAAGTGATCCCCTATTGAAGGGTATGCAGTATATTTTACCTTTAAGAATTGTAGGTTCACAACAAGAAACTGGACATTTAAATCTTATGTCCAAATAGAACATTTCTTCTCTAATAAAGATCAGATATAGATCCAAACTGAAAGGTTTCTTATGAGATTAAGTTTAAAAATAAGCCAGTTCCTAAAAACATAAATAAACCAACTCATTTTATTGTTTACCATTGTCTAACAATATAGTATATTTATAATTTCAAAAGAATAATTTCAAATGATAATTCTTTTAAATAAATGCATACCCATATACACAATGGGCAATAATTTCTAGAGTGATTAGAATTGATGAAAAGTCCTTAACAATTCTATACACATTCTAAAAGTAGGCATGGGCCAAATAAAGGTATGCATCTAAACTAGCTGTGTAATAACTGCTGCAGGCTTATTTTAAGCAAATCATAGTTCAGAATCACCTGTTTTCAACCTAGATGAAGTTGCAAAATTGGAAATATAATGCTTTTAACATTGTAAGGTTCTTTGTCTTTGAAAAACTCTGCTGTTTTGAAATGCTTTCTGAAGGCAAAGGATACATTAAGGGCTATTGGGAAATTATGTCCTTTAGGAACACTAAACATTCAGCATGTATAACCAGCAAATTTAAAAGTCAATTGAAAAAAAAAATTAAAAGTCAATTGAGTCACTGGGGAAATGCAAATTAAAGCCACAATAAGATATTACCTAATATCCACTAAAATTGCCATAATAAAAAAGACAATAACAAGTGTGAGGGTACTGAGAAATTGTAACATCACACACTGCTGGTGAGAATGTAAAATGGTGCAACAACTTTGGAAAACAGCTTGGCAATTTCTTAAAACATTAAACATAAACTTAACATACAACCTGTAGCTCCACTCCTAGGAATCAACTCAAGAGAAATGCAAACCTATGCCCACACAAAGTCTTGTATGTGAATGTTCAGAGCAGCATTATTCATAATTGGCAAAGATGGGAAACAACTCAAATGTCCATCATGGAATACTATCAAGCAATAAGAAGGAATAAAATACTGATATATCCTACAATCTGAATAAACTTCAAAAACATACAAAATAAAGAATCCAAAAGCAAAAAACTACATATTGTGTAATCCCATTTACATAAAATATCCAGAGAGAGCAGCAAAGTAAGTTTCTAACAACATCACCTTTTATTGAGTACCAATATATTTCAGTACTTTAGATCTTAAAGGAAAAGCTTATTGGCAAACTTCAACATTAGTGACTATCACTTTAATTTATATTTCAAAATCTTACTTGATGTAGTTTCAACCAAAGAAATATAATAGCTATGAAGGTATCAATGTTCAGGATCTGTCTATTTAAATGCATTCAATACTTTTTAAATCTTTCTCTTGCTGCTTGACTTTGATCTTTAATTATCAACTGAGTACCCCCACTCAAAATGGGCAAGGCAGGGGAACATAGCTGTCAAATTCTGTAGTATAACAAATAATAGTGACGAATGCTTACATAACAAAATACTATTTTAAACTATGTATTCCAGTGATCCATGGATAACCAAGACTTGGTGATAAAAAACAAGATTTATTCTAATTTCTTCCAATTCCCTTAAGAAACTCAGAAAAAGATACTGTGTCTCATGGACTAGAGAAATAAGAATTGGTAACAGATTGTCTACTAAAAGCATATGTCTGTAAGAAAGTTTATTTTCTTTTAAACTCTACATTTGTTGTGTCAATAAAATGACCTTTTCCTTTTTTTTTGGTTTAGTATCCAGAGGCTTTCTGGTGATTATAGAGTTTTAAAGGCCTCAAATTATATCTGAATTGCAAGGTTAAGAATCAAAAAAAGGAAAGAGGTTACAGTAGTCAAAAAATATGAATGGATCTCCTGAGTCAGAACACTAACAAAATACCGCTTAGTCCAGGAAACAGCTATTTTGTAAAATAAAATGTTTTCATGTATTATATGCTTTTCTCTAAGAGTGGTTAGTACTGTGCATTTTAAACTGTAACACTGAGATTCCACAAAGGATAAAGTAGGGAATCTTAAAAGATAAATTCTAACACTAGAATTAGAAAACAAGAAATAGAGCTCAAAATGAAGAATTTAAGTGTACTTCTGTATCAACCTTAACCACAAAACCGAAGAGAGCCTCAGCTCATCTCACGAGGGGCACAAAAGAATCTCCTGGGGCACATTTCAGATTTACTTTTTATTTCACCATTTTTACACAATTGCTATATAAGGTACATATTAGAAGTACATAATTTATAAGGAAATAAACACTGGGTTATATACTCAACATTTTATTACTGTTAAGATGTGTAATCAAAAGAGTAGAAACCACTCTTCTAAGGAATGGACTGACGAGGGTTACTATTAAGTCACATTAAAGTTAAGTAGTCACGTTTTTCCATTACTCTGGGAATGCAGCAGCTCAGATACTTTACAAAAAGAATTATTATTACCAGGGGCAAACCTTTATAGTTTACAAAGTCCTTTATAGTTTACAAAGTTTTCATGTATGCTATCTCATGGAATACCCAGCCACTTAGCATCTTTACTAGTTGATCTGACATATTCAGTAACAGTTTCTCAAAAGCTTCCTAAACACTAGTTGTATTTATTATTATTAAAAGCAAACAGCTGTGAAGCTGATGAGAGGAGAAAATATTTTAATCACTTAAAGGTTAATCTAAGTAAACTGAAGCACAAAGAAATATGTTTAAGTTGAGTTAATCCTCCACAAAAAAAAGTTTGGAAACCACTCAATAAGAATTATATAAAAGGACAGTTAACATTCTGTCACTTCTCCTGATAGCCTTTACCACCTTTATTCTTTATTTTTTCAAGACAAGCTTAGGGTCTTCTCAGCACAAACAAAGAAATGACCACCAGGGAAGTGAAGTTAAAGACTCTGGAATTACTCAATGAGAAGATTAAGGGTAGATTTCATAACTGACTCTATATACAAGTTCTGCTTTATGGAGGTAGTGACAAGATGTTTTACCAAAATTAAGAGGATACAAGTTGAAGCTGGCTACTAAATAAAATTACTACAGAAAAAAATTATAAGTTTTTCCAAGTGAAAATTCAGAGGAAAACTTAAGGATCTCTATCAAAAGGCATTTTTGTTTTGCAAACAGGATAGTTTCCTATTAAATGAGATCAGTTAAGTGTACCAAGGATGCCTGTAAGCAATCAAAAAGTTTGACTGCAGTTCTTCAGATGTATTTGTCTGTGTATGCTAAACTAAAGCTAAACTTAACTAACCTGGTAGCACACTCCTCTAAAAAAAATTAATATATTATTATTTGCCTTGAAGAAGCTGACTTCTTTTACTAAACTGAGGGATTGATAATGATTAGGTTATTGGAATTAATAATCTTCATAATGAATGGCAACAGGTAAAAAGTAGTATTGGTGTAGTAGAGGAAATCTAGTATGACTGCCATTGTTTGGCAAATCTGTTACTTTGTTTTAGGTTAAAGACATATTCTAATTTATGTTACTGATTTACCTACCAAGGCAATGGGTAGATTTATGAATGATACAATGATGAAATGCCTAAGAAGCAATAAACCAAAAGATTTAAAAGCATATAAAAAATAACCATTTTTCCCTACTGTTATAAATTTGACAATTTTTTAAAGAGCTAATGAAATCTGGATATATTTGTTTGTTTGTTTGTTTGTTTATTTAATTAATTCACGAGAGACGCGGAGAGAGAGGCAGAGACACAGGCAGAGAGAGAAGCAGGAAGCCCGATGTGGGACTTGATCCTGGGACTCCAGGATCATGCCCTGGGCCAAAGGCAGACGCTAAACCGCTGGGCCACCCAGCGATCCCCATGGATATATTACAGTTCTAAGAACCGAGAAAATGATGGCATAAATTCAAGAATCACAACGTATTTCAAAGCTGTTGCCGTTTCAATACTTTCAATGGTTAAAAATGGTTTAATTCTAACATTACCATTGGAGCAGACGGTGGGTTTGATGACTGTCCTTCACTGTTCCCTGCATGCTGGGTTAACCCATTAGGATTTGAAGACTGTGTTATAGGAAGCTGGGTACTGGATGCAGGTTGCTGAGATAATTCTACTTTGTAACTCTTATTTGATCCATCCAATCTGCTACTTCTCTCTATGGCAATCAGGTCGCGAATTTTTTGCAGCTGCTCCACTGAAGCTTTTTTAGGAAAGATAAGATGTGTTTCTCCCTGGAATTTATAAAATTGGCGAAAATTTTAACCTTTGCTTTTTACTGACATTCATATGCATACCTATAAAATGAAACCAATACTATAAAATACATCGTTTTTTAACATTCTATTTTCGTACCATTATAAGTATTTTCTTTTAGATGGTCAAAGGTAAAAAGTGCCTATATATGAACTAGGAAGTTAAGAAAACTGGTCTCCTTCTTTGCATATAATGCTTAGCTTATTTGAGTGGTTCAAAGGCCTTTAGAAAAAATATTTTCTTTTAGGAATAAGAGGTCACAAAGTCTCATAAGAATGATAAAAATGCACTTTCCTAACTTCTCTGCAAAAGTATGTAATACTACTATTCTCTGTGAAATTCCCTATGCAATAATAGGAATTAGTAGAGATGCAGCCATACAAAATGATCTGGGGTCACATAAAACCAAGAAGTTATATAATAACCTTTGAATCTCTTAAACCTAAGACTTTAAAGAATAGCTACACGATTAGAAGTTTGGATATGGGGTCCACTAATTTTTCCAAGAAAACAAAAAGTACACCCTGATAGTCAGTTCAAAACTATGGACTGTTAACAGTAATACAAAGGTGGTCCAAACAAAACAAACAATAAAAATCCCATTTTTAAGTAGTAGTTCATTTAATGAATACTCCTAATCAGAGTGCTTTAAGATGCAATAAACATTACAACAAAGCTCACAATGCAAAACAGCAAATTATAAAACAAAAAACAAGTTAAATGAAAAGATCTTCAATTAAATTTCAAAGTGTTAAGAAGCAACAATGTTAAAATAGTAATTCCACCAACTGCATGTGAGATACAATGATTGTTAATATACAGAAGATAGACTTGTTGATTCTAAGCATTTAAGTTGAGCTCCACAACTGAGAATGATCTTATTTCCCTGGTGATGGCAGACCTATCAGAATCAACTGACCAACACATTTCTCACTAATGACATGGAAATTAATTCCAAATAAATCCCTTTTAAAAAGCTAGAAGAGGCTATTAAGCTCTATATATTCTGTAAAAACAAAACTGAACTATCACTTATTGTGTTTATGTGTTTTTGGTGCTATGCTAAACATTTTATGTATGTTATTTAGAATAATTCTCACAATCACCCTGAAATGTAGGTATTAGATTTATCTCTATTCTTTATATGAAAATACAAAAGCTCAGAAAAGTTAACCTGCCTGAAGCTACATAATAATTGTTGAGAGTAAAGATTCAAACTTAACAAAACTTAATTGTTAAGCTATAATTGACTCCATCTTAGACTAACAGAGACCAAAAACCATAAGCTTGTACTAACGGATGGAAATGTTGAGCAAAAAGAGAGTATTTCTACAGCTGAGATGATTACATATATGATTAACACAATTTGGACCACAATGATTTTCTACATTAGAAAGGAACCACCTCACATCTCTGATGAAGTTTCTTTTCAGAAATTAGACATCTAGGTTAAAACCAAATATAGAGGTTTCCCATCTCATACTGTTAGTGGAGCAGCACTGAGAGAGGTAGAAGACACCATGGGCTGAGGCGGAAATACAGTAAAACAAGTGTCTGGATCTGTTCAGTCTACACCTTAGAGAAGGCCCTTATAGGACAGAGATGCTGCTTGTGCCTTGCTCCCTTCCCTTCCAACTTTTCAGGACCAATCCTAAAAGAATATATGATATGGCCAAAGTGCCTGTGCCAAAAAGTTTCATCAGCAGCACTGTATTTTCACAAAAGACAAAATCACAGGCTTAATGCACCAGATCCAATAACACTTTATGAATGAGAACTGTAGTATTTAGCAAAATCCGTATTTCTCAACATATTTTTGCTAAGACAATTCTTACAGCCAGATGTTAAACAAACCTGGCTCCTGCCCACTATATGCTGGTAATATCTTCCAGTCATCAGGACAACCAAAACTGCCCTCCTCCTATGGTGTCTGGTGAGAACCACCGCACTCAGCAAGCCAGATGAGTCACATATATACCCATGTGGATCCCAGTCTTTCTCAACCTTCTTCTCAGAATTTTCACAAAGACCATAGCCTCAGAGGCAAGGAGGCCCAAAAGTGCCCAGGATTTTAATATACAACTGAACATTTTGGGATGGATCTGAGATTCCTACTTCATCTTAAAGCCGATTCAGTTTCTTTCTAATGATAAGAGTTCAGGTGCAGTTCCACTGGTTCCTTCTGCAACTTAGCCAGTGATAGAACATTTACTTGACAGGTCCTGAGGTGTGAAGTCCAAAGACAATCGGAAACTTGAAGTATAAATTAGTGTCATCAAAACATGGTAATCTTTTCTGAAACTGTTGCTCCATTTGTGTCAAATACTTCTGCAAGTTTCAATCTGGCTTATTACCTGGCACTGGTGTAACCAACCTTTTGGTCTGCCTGAGATGGGTTTTCTAGAATGTGGAATTTTGAGTGCTAAAACCAGGACAGCAAAAACAAAACAAAACAAAACAAACAAAAAAAAACCCATAAAAATAAGTACATTAAAAACAAAACAAAACAAAACAGGGCAGCCCGAGGGAAACTGGGATGGTTGGTCATCACACCCGGCACTCAAATATTTGTTGAATGAAAGACAAATATGACTCCACAAAATGTGTAACACTTCAAAACTGAGAAATCAGTACAGTTTCCAGTTGTCATTTACTACATTTTTCTGTCATTTAACTAAAAAATCTGTATTTACTTGAACAAAATGGGCAATGTTTACAATTTTGCCTCCTATATTTTTAAGTTCTCTATGTTCAGATGTCTGTAACTCCAAGCAGATGACACCATAATTTCTATCTCCAGCCTGACCTCTCCTTTTGAGTTATAGACTCAAATATCCAACTGTCTACTGGCTATCTCTATTGAAAGTTTAGCAGTATGTCACTTATAATTATCCAAAGGTAAGTAGTGATCTCTCCCATCATCTGCTATACTCCCAAGGTTTCTCAATTTGAATTAATGGTATTTGCATCCGCTTATATGCTCAAACCAAAACCTAGAAGAATCCCTCATTTCTTTCTTTCCCTTATACTCCACATTGAGTTGATTAGTAAGTCCTGCAGGCTCTGTTTAAAAAGAAAATTCTAGATGCCTCTACTTTTTCCTCATCTCCACTGCTATCAGTCGTTAATTCAACATATGCTTACTGAGTGCCTCCATGTATTCTAGGAGCTAGCAACAGAGGGGACAAAAGGCTTTTTAGACAAAAGGCTCTGTCCACATGGAACTTACACAAACCATTACCATTTCTCCTTTAGGCTGAGAAAAGCTTTCTAACTGATCTTCCTGCTTCATCCCTTGCTCTCATCCCAGAATATCCAGAACATTTCTCTTTACAACCAGTAATCTTTTAAATATTCTTCCCTGCCTAAAACCTTCCTATGGTTTCCCATCTCACTTAGAATGAAATCCAAGTCTTTATCAGAATCCTCAAAAACCCATGTCCTGGATCCTGCCTGCCTCTGTAGCTACTTTCTGTGTCAAAGCTAATCCTGCCAGAAGTCTGTTGCACACCTGAATCCTTCTGTCTGAAGTACTCTTACCTGAGGGTTTCAGGTACCTGAAATGCTTCTTTTCATTTAGGTCCCAGCTCAAATGTTTTCTCCTGAGAGGCCTTCTCATACCATTCATTCTTTTAGAGCTGTCCCCTCTACAGGTGCTTTTTTAGTATATTACCATGCCTTATTTTCTTCTTTGCATTCATCTTTGCTTTCATGTCTACATGTCTACTGTTTGTCTAACCTATTAGAATCCAGGCTCCATGCGAAATGGGATCTATTTCTCTAGTTCACTACTATACCCTCCAGGGGCTTGAACACAATCTGGGGAGGCAGGAAGGAAAGTACTTTTTATGGCAACTCAGCATATCTCTGATCATTTCTACAGCCTTGACAATTCTGACTGCTATAGACTACTGTGTATCCACAACCTGGTTCAATTTCTTTCAGTATTCCATAAACTAGAAATGGTTAAGCATATATTACATAAAGAAAATTGAAAATATTGATAACTACTTTCATTGTGTCATAAAATTAAACCATGCCACAAGATTCCAGAAGATGAAACTACCAAACTTATTTTGACTTAACAAAAAAACCACTGATATTCTCCTCTTGTGTCACAGAATAAATTCCTTACATGCAACAACTGAACTCAGCTTTTCTGCATTTACTCTTTTCATTTCTTACTGGAGACAGGCAGTTAGACCTTATCAATATTCATGGGTACTCACAAATTAAGTTTTTGCGGAAAGTCTAAAGTGACCCACAATTTGGTCTTTGGGTTTTATGTCTGACCTGTTCTAAAGGATTAAAATTTGTAAGAATTTTCCCTGTGGGGGGGAAATATATATATATATATATATATATATATATATATATATATATTTATATTTATATATGATACATAATATATATTTTTATTGTGATTTTAAAGTACACTTACTGTCACTTTTAAATGTCCAATAGGCGAAGAATTAACTAGTTCCACAGATTTCCAAAATGACCCATTAATTTAAAAATATTATCTTATTTAGGTAATTATCCAACAACATTATAATAAACTCTTTACAAATGAACTGGGGAGAAGAAATCCTTCAACATACTTACCTCTTCAAAGCCCATTTCAAATAAACATTCAACGGCTCCTCTGACAGGTAGGAGTCTAGTAGAAAAAGCTGTGTTTCCAATCCGGATAGATCTGTATTTTTCATCATTAGGATTTCTGGTTTAAATAAAAAAGTTTGATTATATATAACAATTTATACTTTCCGCAGTGTTTTTGCGCTCCTTTTTACATTTTATATTGGCTATACTGCTACAAGATAGTATAGTTCCCTACTTTAAAGAAAAAGGAAGCACAGTCTGGAAAAATAGCCTGATTTTGTGATTCTTACCTCAATAAACATTTACCACCACCTACCATTTCACAGCTGATAATATTAATGTTTCCATAAGGGAAATCCATGTGACATTTTAATTCTGTGCTGTTAAAGCCACATACCTTTATGAGTTTTTAGGTTGCTAAGAAAAAAATCCAGGTAAGCTCTAGACATGGGTGCATAAGGCCTTGCCTATTTTGTTCTGGTGGATCCCAATCATTAAGAATGGTGCCTGATGCATATATGATAGTTAATAAATACTTGTGAAATGGATGAATAAAAGAAACTAAGAAGCTATATAAAAATGGGTCTTTGAGTTCCTCAAAGACTTTACCTCTGACAAATACAAATTTAGATATATCTTATAGTCACTTGATTTTCTTTCTTCCCTAGATGATTGTTTTTACTCTATATTCTGCTTCAGCTCAAAGTATATTTTTGTCACAATTTTTTTTTTTACCACGATTAAGATTTTAAATAGCATACATGGGATGAGACCAGCATATGAAAAGCTTTGAGATTTTTAATAACCTTTTAAAAAATATTTTATTTATTTATTCATGAGAGACACACACACACACAGAGAGGCAGACACAGGCAGAGGGAGAAGCAGGCTCCATGCAGGAAGCCCAACACTGGACTCGATCCCAGGACTCCAGGATCACACTCTGAGCCAAAGGCAGACGTTCAACCGCTGAGCCACCCAGGCATCCCAAGATTTTTAATAACCTCAATAAATCAGAAAGGCTGTTTAAAAAAAAAATCAGAAAAAAAAATACAAGATTAAGATAATCACAGTTTGGGGCTCCTGGGTGGCTCAGTCAGTTAAACATCTGCCTTTGGCTCAGGTCATGATCCTGGGCTCCTGGGATTAAGCCCTGAGTTGGGTTTCTGCTCAGTGGGGAATCTGCTTCTTCCTCTTCCTATGCTCCTCCTCTCTGTTCATGTGCGTGCTCTCTCTCTCTCTCTCTCTCTCAAATAAACAAAATCTTTAAAAAAAAAAAAAGATAATCACAGTATTATACTCAAAAAACCTCAGAACATAATTTAGGATGAGTAGATTTCACATCTGATATAAATTCTTTTCCAATGGTAGTGGACTCCATCAGCACTATTTTAAGAAGGATTCTGAGGTTGTGTCAGGGGTCCGTAGGAAGGAGTGCTGAGGCCACCATCTGCTTGGGGTATGGAATGGGGATGGTGGACAAATGCTGGCAACTGCTAGCAACTCATTAACCATTTTTGTCCTAATTTAATTGTGGAAACTTCAACATATTTCACATTTGTTTTTTATCAAGCAACTCTCTATTGCCAAACTGTAATAAATACATTAATCTTCTTTAAACTTTTCTTTAATTTCAAAAATTATACGTTTGTTACAGAACGTTCAGAGACAAAGCTCTAATATAGTGTTATTCAAAATGTCCACAGACCAGTGACCATCTATAAACTTCCTAGTCATTCATGAGAAGTGCAAAAATTGAGAGTACTCAGCAATTTTTATAGCAATTTGATTTGCCATGAAATTTTTATTGTATTTTACAAAGTTGTAGCTCCACAAAAGATTGGAATTAAAAACAAACATTATTCTTTACCCAGGTCATTTGAGTATCATAGGTGGTTGAAAAACACAAAGAAAAATATATGCTCTACTCTTTTTTTCTGTGTTTTATCTTTTTTTAAAAGATTTTTTTATTTATTTATTTATTTATTTATTTATTTATTTATTTATTTATTTATTTATGACAGAGACAGGCAGAGACACAGGCAGAGGGAGAAGCAGGCTCTATGCAGGGAGTCTGATGTGGGACTCGATCCTGGCACCCCAGGATCACGCCCTGGGCAGAAGGCAGGCACTAAACCGCTGAGCCACCCAGGGATCCCCTTTTTCTGTGTTTTAAATGAGAATTACTCAACTTTGGTATTTGAAGTCTTTGTTGTAGGGGCATTTGAAGTCTTTGTTGTAGGGGCCTGCCCTGGGCACAGCAAGAGATTTAGCATCCCTGGTTTTATGCCACACTGTATCCTAAGTGCCTCCCTTTCTTACCACTTAAACAAAAAAATATTGAGATCCCTGGGTGGCTCAGTGGTTTAGTGCCTGCCTTCGGCGGCCCAGGGCGTGACCCTGGAGTCCCGGGATCAAATCCCACATCAGGCTTCCTGCATGGAGCCTGCTTCTCCCTCTGTCTGTGTCTCTGCCTCTCTCTCTGTGTCTCTCATGAATAAATAAAATCTTAAAAAAAAAAATTAAACCATACAACACTCTTACATTTATCAAGGCCAGTTACACATAAATGAAGCATCTTTTCATGATATTCAATACATTTCACCGGGTCATAAATATCAGTACCACCAGGATGATATAACCTACTGGTACAAAACTGCTTGATTTTTTTTTAACCTATTTTTTTCCCCAATAGCTTCCAGATTTTTACATGATCAAAGTCTTTCTCTGGCTTTAATTTCCTAGTTTTTCCCATTTCACCACTCTTTAAGAATTCTTATAAAAACTACACTAGGTGATCTGATACAGCTTATTATTTTGATACATGTTTCAAAGTAACTTGATATAGCTTTTCTGCTCTAGTTAGCAATTTTATATGTTTTAACATCTATGGGCCTCACATAATATTTATATTTTTTTCACTAAAAACATAACACAAACAAAAACAAACCAAAAAAAAAAAAAAAAACAAAAAAACAAGAATAATGTCCAGTTACCCAATCCTAGCTTCCTCTTTTTTTTAAGTATGTTGAGCATACCAGCCATAATCTTGAACATATAATAATGCCAAAGTTCATCCTGAAGCCCTCAAAGGCTTAGAGAACTTGGCCATTAGAGCTCAAATCCATCACATCCCATTTCCTGACCTTGGAAAACTACCAAACCAACACTTTCTAAATCTTTAACTTCATAGTGTCATCCCAGTATATCCACCATCCTTGAACTCATTAGTACTATTCTCCTTATCTTACAGTGTCTAAAGTGCCCATAAGGATCACCTTTATTTTTGTTCCTCTTCTTCCACTAAATTTTCTCTGCAGACTTTTCTCAAGTATTTTTTGCTATAATTTTTCAAAGTGTTTTTTCTACCTCTGCTGACCATTAATTATTTCTGCAATTTGTAATATTTATCTTGCTGTTAGCAATAATTTTGCACCTTCACTTGAGGGTTGTTTTTTTTTTTTTTTTTTTTTTTTTGGTTGTTTGTTGGATGATGTTGAATGAATGGGATCTTGAAAGAGCAGCAAAATGGCCTGCATCTCACTCACCATCACTTTGAACATATTTTGGTGTATCCCTAGTTGTCGTACCCCCCTAGTTGTCTTTGTTTTTACAACTGAATGGTAGAAAAAAAGTCATGCTTTTCACCTTAAAAGTCATAATCTACCATATACTTAAGATCTTAAGTCACGTTGGGGCACGTGGGTGGCTCAGTCAGTTGAGGGTGTGGCTCTTGGTTTCTGCTCAGGTCATGATCTCAGGATTGTGAGATCAAGCCCCACGTTGGTCTCCACACAACACAGGGGTCTGACTGAAATTCTTTTCCTGTTTCTCTCCCTTCTGAATCCACACCCCTCTCCCTGCTCTAACATAAATGAAAAAATAAAATCTTAAAAAAGATTTTTTAAAATAAATCATTTTTAAAGTAAATCTTTTAAAAAGATTTTATTTATTTATTTTAAAAAGAGAGAGAGAGAGCGCACAAGCCAGGGGAAGTGGGAAAGGGAGAAGCAGACTCCCTGTTGAGCAGCGATGTGATGCGGGGTTGGATCCCAGACCCTGGGGGATCATGACCTGGGCCAAAGGCAAGACACTTAACCGACTGAGCCACCCAGGTGCCCAAAAAAAGATCTTAAGACATGTCAACAAGTAGGTGTCCCACTGAGGTCACAGACTCAGAAAAAAGAAAAATGTAAATGTTTCTATTTCAGAACTTCAGAAATGATGAGAGTACATCTAACCATTTACTAGCCCTCTTTCTCTTTAGAATACATAATCCTAGAAAGAGTTTATATAAATGGAAATTCAGTATATGAGCGAGATCCTATAGTCTTGTATTTTTATTACTAATCACAAAAGTTGGTTTGTAGGACAGTTAAAAAAATTATTTCTAGTCCTTCTGAATACCTATTATTCTGAGAAACATGTAAATTTTTCAAAAACATCTTTAGAACCATCTGGGAACCATCTCTGGCTCTAACTCTACCATTCTATGTAGCTGACAAAAAGGGAAACATACACATAATCTAGCTTGTTCAACATGAAAAACTGAATAATGGTAATAATAGATAACATATGTGCCTTCATTTCTCTTTTGCAACAATCTTATAACACAGGCATTTTGCTTTCCTCTCAAAAATGAAGAAAAAAAAAAGAAACTGAAACTCAGAGACTTTACATAAAATTGCCTATAACCACAATCTTAGGAAATGGATTCAAACCCACTGGTCTGATCACAAGCTTACTCTCCATCATACAATATGCCAACTTACTCACCAATCTCAGTAACTACCCTCTCTCAATTTCTCCAGTTGTCAACTGTTACCTAGATTAGAAATCTGAAGTTATTTGTGTTGTCTCCTTGCATTACTGGTTCTATTCCTTGCATTCAGTCATCAAGAACTGCCAATCCCTGCCTCCAATTGTTCTCTCTCCATTCTAACCCCATTTATGCTTGTGATTACTGTAATAGCTTTACAAATGAGACCCATGCCTTGTGTCTTTTTATATCATTATTCTACATGAAACTCTTTCATTATGTTTCTCTTTGATTCTAGAAAGTATGATCATTTTCTCTTGCCTCTTATGTCAAATATATGTTCTCTGCTATTCCATCAA